GCCGGCGCGGCGCCGGGCCCGCCGCTGAAGGTGCTGGCGGAGCAGCTGCGGCGGGCGGAGCGGGGCGCGGCCGGGACGTGGGAGCTGCGGAGGGCGGCCGCGGGCCGGGCGCCGCTGTCCCTGCGRACCGTGTGGATGCAGGGCACGGTGCTGGAGGTGCAGCGAGGCGCCCGCGGCGGCTCGGCCCGGCTGCAGGACGGCAGCGGYGCCTTCACCGTGCTGGGCGTGGAGCAGGTGCCGCAGGGCAGGCCGTGCCTCAGTGCAGGTACCGCGGGGCGGGGGGGAGCTCACGGGCAGTGGGTGTTSTGCCTGCCCTAACGTGGTTCGGCACATCCCTGGGGCGGTCCCAGTGCGGGAGGCCCGGAACAAGGAGACAGATTTGTCTTTTTTTTTTTCCTTCCTCTCAGCAGTACTGCCAGTTCAACTGGAGTAGCGTTGAAATACAAAACAGGCGCATTGCTTACATTTTCAGTCTTCTGACCTATCCTTTGTCCACTTCTACAATAGGACAAATTGTGTGCTTGTTTGAGTCTTACTGTATTCAGAAATCTAGTTGAATTTGCTATAAAAGTGGCATTGTACAGACAATGAAACCTCTTCTTGAAATTTAGCTCTAAGTAGTCATCATTCCTTGAGTTTTCTTGCAAGTATTGGCAACTTCAATTCACACTGTTTACTTGGCTTTCAATAATTTGCTTTGTGAATTAAGATTACAGTATAAAAGTTAATTACATTTAATGCTTACTTGTTTTTTAGGGAAATATGTAATGGTGATGGGTGTGGTACGGTCCTGCAGTCCTGAGCCCGTTCTTCGAGCAATAAAGATGACAGATCTCTCTGAAAATCCCGTGCATAAGAATATGTGGAACCTTGAAGTGGAGGATTTGCAGAGAGTCATCCCCTAATACTTCTACTTTCCGTCTAAAAGAACTGGAAATTTTCTTTCTGTTGCTTTTGGTGCAGAACATTGGACTATTCTGTGTAACAATTCCTAGAGTAAACCAAAGTGAGAAATTTGGCTCAGTTAAGTGTAGGGACCAGAGCTTATTTGATAATAATCTCAGTGTTCGTGTCTTCAGTGCCTTTTTGTACCAGTTTATTTGAGAAACACCTGTTTGATGTTTTGAGTAAGATGTCCATGCTATTAAAAACGCTGTGTGTTTGTGTGTTAGCTGCTGTTTCTGGGAGCGGGTGTTGAGGCAGCTGTTCATTCAGCAGGGTGTTTGTGGCAGCAAGGGCTGCACAGCCCAGTACCTGGCATGATGGCAAAACATGTTTGAATCTGTTCAGACTGTGGCTGGAAATATTTTCACCTGTGTTTTCTCTTCCATTTAGACTGTGGTTGGAAATATCATTTTCACCTGTGTTTTCTCTTTCAGTAATCACCATGTCTGTAAACTATTTGTAAGCCAGGTGTCTCTTGGTAACCGTTAACAGTGTGTTGTACTTAAAATACCTCTCTAGTTTCTGAAATACTGAAAGTGGTATGGTGATGAGCCCTCCATTCCAGTAAAGTGAAGTTACTGAAAAGATGTGATGCAGGATTCGCTGGAATAGGTTCTCCAGATTCAAGATGCAAATGTTTTTAACTTCCAGAAACAAGTGTTCTGCTCCTAAGTGCCTTTTTTTGTTTGAAGGTTTTTMTTCCAATGTATGCTATTTGTAGCTATTTAAATCACTCTAAATTATATTTTATTCTTGTCTTTCTTTCATGGTTTTTTTTCAGAGAAAGAAGAACTGAAATTAAACCAAGAAACCTTTGAAAAGTAGAAATATTTCTACTTTTTATTTTCTGTCTTGTCTAAAGAGAATTTGGATCCTGGAGAATGTATTGCATTATCTGTGTGGAATGACTTTGTGATTGGGGACTGTATTGTCCAGCAATGGAGTTATGTTAATTAGGAACATATAGGAACATTCATATAGGAAAGGAAGACAGTCTGATTGAATGCTCTGCAGTTTAAGATGAGAATCAAATGGTGGTAATTACATTTTTAAATCGTGGCATTAGGTTTTCAAAACTTGTGGAAACTAAATAAATAGTGTCCTTTGAAGAATTGAGGTTTTTGTGGACTAAGGACTGGATTTCAGTGTACTATTTTAGCCTTGAGTTTGRTATTCCAAACCAGACCACATCACAGGGAGTTGGATAGTGGAAGTCCTGTGCTCTTGAGACCCTGCTGATGAAATGCCAAAACATACAGAGATAAAGAATTTTTGCAGTCTGGRTTTGTTTATTGTTTTAATTACAGAAAAAAAAACCCACTTGTGGAGTGCTGTAGCCTTTCAGAAATAATCCATGTGATCAGCATATTGGCTGGCAACTGGTTCATATTAAAAATTGTTTTCCTAGGAATTGAAAGCAAAAGACACATGTAGCCAGGGTCAGTGTTGTACTAAACAAAAGACTGCTTGGAGATGTCTTTGACTCACAGCTCAGCTGTGCTTCATACTATGAGAGGCTGATGCTGCTTATTGGTGGCAGTGAAGGGCCTTGTCTCTGGATTTCCATAGTTTGGCATTGTAGGGCTCTGCTGGGTACTGGGAATTCTCCTTTTTTTTTCACCTTAACTTGTGTCTCACTTTCTACCCGAGTAGAACATGGGTTTATGAGTTTTGTTGTTGTRCAGCAGAGCACGTACCCGACAAGTTACAGGATAAGTGTCTTCTCTATCCCTGCGTGGAGGAGGAGGTTAAAGCTGGGCTCTTTGTACCACTGTTTAAGGGGTTAAGTTGATGTGGTATGCAGAAATTCTATGAGCTTTGTAGATCAGGGGGTTCTGTATGGAGTTCTGCTCAAGAGTTGTAAGCACTGAAAACACTTGGAAGAACAAATGAACCTGTCCACGCTCTGCAAAGACAGCTGGTGTGGGCAGGTGTGTTCAGAGTACTCTCACAGCAGCACTACTGGCAGAAATTCCTGTGTGGTGGTAAAACCATGAGGTATACAATGGATTTGATGTGTTTGCCATGTGACAGCATAGCTTATGTACTTCATTAYCTGCATCTGAGGCATGAACATTTTGGATTACTTAAGTCAAGGTGTTCAGTAATGTGTAGCATTGTCAGTAATCTACTAAAAGTTTAGTCATGGTAAAGCCAGGGCTAGTGCAGAGGAAAAAGGCCAGTTTTGAAATACTGAGGCTGAAGGATTGACCTGGTAATGCTTCAATCAAACCCTTCCAATGTGATTCTTTTCCGGGGCTTCACATCCTGGAGAAATCAGCAAGGTCTCTCAGTTGRCCTGAGGGATCTTTTGTGCTGAGCTGACACCCTGCACTGCATCCCCRTCTGTCACTTCCTTGTCTTGTGTTTGCTGATAGGAGCTGCCTTAGGATGGAGCTGCTGTGTCCCGTTAGGTAGAGGATAATGTTTTAGCTCCATTTTTAAATTCCCAAGATGAGACATTACCATGCAGTAAATTAAACATACTTAACGATGGTTTGGGTGGATGCTTTTATTGCTTCATGAAGGTTTTGCACAGTTCAAAGACCTCTTGGCCTGTGATACTGCWGTGTTTATGGGAAGGTATTTGGTGATCAGGTGTGACAGCACTTGCCTTTGCACTAACAGCAGCAGGCTGGCATGGAGCAAAGGCACAGCTGCCAGTGCAGAACATGAAGACTTTATTCATGACAGCTATAAATCAGTGCTAAACTCAAATTATGAACTGCATGTGGAAAAATGAAGTGTGGAGTTSGTTTGGGKTTTTTTCTTTTCCTTTTTTYCCTACCTTCTTCTCCATGGTGGCTCTGTTAGCCCTGCTCAGTGTAAGTGATGTCTAATTCATAYACTCGTGYGGGCAGGTGCTCTGGGTTAGTGGGGTGTCCAGACCAGCCCATGGGGTCAGCAGATGTCTGGGTTGGCCCATGGCCCCAGGGCAGGAGTGAGGCCAGGTCTGGCTCCTGCTGAGCTTCAGGACTTGAGGTGTGTCTGGGGGCCTGTCTGAGTTCCTGAGTCTCTCATGAGTATCTAGACAGGAACTGCAGACAGATGGAACCTGGGAACAGCTCAGAGATATCGAGCAACTGGGCTGAGTGAAGCGGCTGGAGTGTAAAATGATTATTGGTAGTTCAATGGCCTCTTTATCACCAGTGATAAGTTATATGCAGCTTTAGGAGACCTGGTGTCTGCGTCCAGGTCAGTTTTGCTTTCTGCAGTTAGGGTGTAGTTAAACTCCTGTATTTGTGTATTGCTGACTGAGCTCTTCTCAGTCTTTTCTTGGGCTTGCTGACRTTTTACTTGAAACTCTCACCTCAGGACTTTTTCAGAGGTATTTGGTGTGCTGAGCTGGGGACTGAAGTGACATTCTGTGACTGGGGAGAAAATTATGTGGGTTTTTTAATCAGTAACTGGTATACATATTCTTTAACTTCCAGAAATATTTCATACAATTTTGGCTTCATTACAGGTGTCCCGGTATGAAATTACTGAGGAAGACTTAATTTCTAGTGTTTTATACAGCACCAACTGATGTGTGTGAGTATCCTAAAAAATTGCAGGATTTTTTCCCTGACTAGTGTAGGAATCATGTTTTACTTGGGATTTGTATCATTCTAGAAGGTAAGTGTTCAGAAAGCGATTGCAGCCAAAAGCTGCATGAGATAAGAGAGCAGCTGCTGGGTGAGACATTCAAACCCAGCCAGTTCCAACTCTAGGTCAGTACAACTTCATTATTACAAATAATCAATGAAAATGTACTCCAGCATGAGAATAGGCAGGCAAATGTTTTATTAGCATGATGTCATAGTTCAGAACATCATTTCAATGTTTGTGTATTATGCAAAGACATTTGGATGGATTTTGCAGTGTTGTTACCTTTCACCAAGAAATAGCTGCATTCCAGGCCCTTTATGGAGAAGGGTAATGMAATTTTTAAATCAAGTGACGTACAATACAGAAAGTGATTTAACAGATGAGACACTGTCACAGCAGCAGCTATAACACCTTATGGCTGCATTATGACTAGGATAGGTATTGGTCAAATTTTCCCAACACAARGGGATTCTAAAGTAACAAAAGGAAAACGTGACACTGGTGCATAGAAACCAGGAAGTCTGTTTCTTGTTTAACAGTATACAAATTAATAAGGGAAAAATCAACCAGCATAAAAATTATTAAATGCTTTCCATTGTTTAACAATCTTGTTTTTATCTTCATCCTCTGTTGGAGCACTTCCCTGGAAAAAAAAAAAAAAAAAGGTAACTTTCTCCAGAACCACTGAACAGTGGAGTTTCATTTCTGGAGAAAAAAGAAGTCAGCAYCTCTGCTGACTCAGAGCTGATAATGCTACTTTCACAAAGTAGTCCACTTGTACTAATCTGATCTGGAAGAGAGCTTTTCTCAACTTTTCAATGTATTCGTGCAGTGGTTCAAGGCTTGTGGAGAGGCAATTTTGCCACTGATTAGGAGAATCCATTTAAAGTAACTGATACTTTCATGTCAAATGTCTTTTCGTTGATTATAGTTTCTTGTCAATATACTGAAACAATTCCTCCTGCCTTCAGGGATTCTGAGTGGAAAGCTTTCTTTTTATACTATATATGCTTCATTGTGTTCACAGTGCACACTAATGCATTCACACTTCTGTCATTCTCCCCGCTCTTGCCTCTAGCTTGTCTACCTAAAATAACTGTTCTATTTTGGGTGCTGAAAGGGTTCTTCCATCTTCAGGGCTGGTATCTGCCATTCAGAACTGGCTCAAGCTGAAAGGAAGAAGAGATGAAGTCCAGGTAAGTGGTTAGCAAGGACTAGTGACATGTAATGCAACCTCTCATTACAATGAAACACAAAAAAAAAATGTTTGAAGGGAGAATAGCATCAGATATATTTATGACATCAAAAAGCTGTGGGGAAAATACTCCAGCATTTTAGATACAGTTTTATCTTTGATTGCTACTCTGAAATAAAGATGTAAGATTCTCTCATGTTCGATAAATTCATATTGAGGTGGAAAAGGGCAACATTATTTCTAAAGTTCATGAGGTCTGSGGTAGTTCAGCTATTCAGTGGAAGATCATGGACAAACATGAATTTCTAAGAAATAGGGCAGAGGTAGTTTCTGCTGACAGCCACTTTCTGTTTTGCTCTCGTGACCCCATGGCTGGTTATTGGTTACTGTGCGTGAGTACCCCAGCCATTACAGTCTTTCACTGTCAAGCCTAATTCTCCCTTACTGCAGTTTGGTCTGTTCAACTTCCTTCTCTTTAGAGTGTTTACATGTTTACAGACTTAACTCATGTCTTTCCTCAGCTCTTCCATTTTTTTTCCCAGGACTGTTCTCAACTGGTTCACAATTTCAGTAAAACATGGTGTCCAAAACTGGATCCATAAAATCAGCTAAATAGAGAAGTATTTCTTGTCTTAAATATGTTTATTCATGTGTATGAATGTACTGACTTCTTTTACAGCCTCTTTAACAGGATGTTCTCATTAACTGGGGTTGTGATGCACCTTCATTCCATTCTTTTTCCTCAGAAATGGGATAATGTAAACTAGCTACACTAGCTGCCTTCAATCATTCTGCTACCWAGCCATTCTAAAACTTTATTTTCATCTGAATATTCAATTGACTCAGATCTAACAAAATTTGTCTCTATATTTCATATTTATATGTTGAAGAGTTTATAATGCTACTGGAACTAAAACCACTCACTGCCTGTGAGATCCTACTGAGAAATGTCCTGATCATCCACTGCTTAGGAGCTGAGTGWACTGAACACCTCAGGCAGATACTGACACAGGATATTGCAGTGTGCAGGACTGATGTGATGCACTTACAGACACAATGAGTGTTATTTTCTGGGGTTTTGTTTTGTGGCCAGCAAACTCAGCTACAAATACTACTCCCTTCCTTGGTGGGTAAGAAATCAGCTAGTACTTGTATGAACAAGTTTGTAGTCAGCAAATCACTCTTGAGGTAGTAGTGAGTTTACAAATGCAMATAAATAATGTTTCAATACATTAATATATTCACTCTCTTTTCATTASTAAGCCTTAGCAAAGCATGGAGCATAAAAGGAATGCAGAAGCATAATCAAGTCTTCTGCATGATTCTGCCCTTTATTTGGTGTAAATATTTCCACTGCAATCTTGCACGGTACATTACTATTTGGGCATGAGTATCAATAATGCAACTCCAGTTAGCACAGAGGGATCCAGTGACTTTTGGAGCAGGAACTGTGCTGTTCTGCAGCAATGTGCACCCTCATCAAAACATGAGTAACAAATTGGCACAATAACTGTAGAAGTGGGCAAGGATTGTAATAATAAAAATTTCAAGCTAGTGCTCCATTCATGCTTTTCATCTTTCTTAGCTGTATCCCGGGAATCCACTTAAAAATACRATCTGGATGACAACTGCATTAAAATACAAGTATTGATAATCTGGTTTGAAAAGACAGCTTTCATTATTAGAGACTGAAAAGTACAAAAATATATCACTGAGTATTTTGCATCTGTATAATATGTATTGTTAATATGAATCCAAATGCATTATTCAAACCATATAAAGATGGAACCAGAAATAGTATCCAAGAGGAAAAACTCCTAGAGACATCACACMGTATTCTGCAGGTATTCTTCTGCCTCTTTTACACAGAAAATCAAGAGGAAATAAGAAGGCCGGTAGAGAATGTGCAGTGGATGAGCTCTGCTGTGCTGCTGAGTGAACAGCAGGAASRGGAGGTAGGCAASAAGCAAGAAGAGTATTTCCAGGAATAGGATCAGTTTTGCTCATTCCCACAGTCAGAGTCATTAGTTTTATTTTCTCAAGTGTTTTTGAATTACAGACATTTAAGTCTGGAGCAACGCAGTCAGCATATTCAGGGAGTGGGGAGGAGAAATGAAACTTACCACTGTGGTGGGATTTCCACAGGGACAAAATTCCGGTTGCAYAGATGAACAAAAGCTGCTGCTAAGCTGCAGGCAGCCCCCATGGCTGGAGAGTTACAAGTGTCCTGGGTACACATGGTGTAGAATGGCTTGGGTTCCACCTGGGCACAAAGGGATGGGTTAGAGGAGTGGGGTGCAGGGGCACGTGCTGGTAAAGCCAGAGGTTGGGGTTGTGTTCTCCTCCCCCCTCCCTGGCTGGGACCATTCATAAACCTTTATTCCCTTCCTCACAKTGAGGAGGTTATTTCTGTTTCCAAATTCTACACCTGTGTTCTAAAGATTARTGCAGTCATGCCACTATTCTATGGCTGTCAATAACATCTATTTATGGTGATAARAGCACCTTTTTCTGCCTAGATGGCTCTGGATTAGTTCTCTGTGACTAAACTTCCATATTCCTGCAGTGGTTAGGTGTCCTCCTTGGAAATATGACACATAATTAAGACAGTGCTTCTGGCTGGAGTTCTACTTACAACTTTGAAGCAGTTCCTAAGAAGTGAATGTGGTTCTTCAAAAAACACTTTACAGATGTTTTGCTTAGCTGTAATTGGACATGGCTTCTCTTTCTTCGGTACGAGACTGCACTTGTTCACCTGGGAAAACAGAAKTAATGAGGTTGGGGGATTTTGGGTTTTTTAACACACCAGGGCAGGATGAGTTCTTCAGATTTCCMGTGTGAGCTGGTTTCAAGGAAGATATGGGCAGCTCAGTACCCTGCCCTAAYGGTTATTTTTCATTAATATTGAGAGGCACCTTGCTGATTAGATGTTGTTTCCTTTTTCTATTGATTCTGTTTTTCACTGAAGGATTTTGGTGCRTAGTTGCTAACATAGCAGTAGTTGGCTAGTTCTCTTATATAGATCTGACAGCAGAACCAACTCTCTACAGTGTGCTGCTGTTTTCACTATCGAGCTTTAGTTCATCTAAGCCAACCCCGTGTCAGACATTGCCCTCTGTTCTCAGCAGCCCTGCATACAGAGGCCCCTCAGCTCATTACCTGCCAGCTCTGTGTGAACTCTTGCACATTGTCAGTGAAGGAACCATTAGGCACCAGCCATTCGTTTCCAGCTTCATTATCATTGGTACCAAAAAGCCCAGCTGAAATACCTGGGAGGAAATAGAAATGGGGTAAAGTAGTTGTCAGGAGTAGGTGCAGGAGAATGACTGCAGCTGTCTCTGGGCTCTGATTATTCTGTCCAGCAGAGCTCAGCTCAGTGTGGAAGAGGGGAAGCTGCCCAGGCTGCATTGCCATCTCATGTCTCAGCTGGTCATGGCYTCCTCCTGAGCACAGCAAGGCATCAGATCCATTCTCTGCTAATCTTTGGGGGATGAGTCAGAATAGTGTGGGGTGGAGTGCATGGACAGGAATGCATTCCAAGTATCCCAAAAACCCTGTGCGGTTTTGGGCCTCCCTCAGTAGTTGTCTTTCAGGTCTGACAAGCTAAGCTGCTCTAGAACAGATTCTCAGCCAGGATTTGGGGCTGGGCTGACTGCAGTAACTCTGCCTCTGATTTCTGTCTGCTTTATTGCATTGAATCAACAGTGACCTGTAACTTGCTCTTCTTACTGGAATGGTGCATTCCATGCTCTATTTGGCAATTACTGGGAATGCTTACGGCCGTTTTCAGAGTGTATATGAAGAGGGGGGAAAAGCAAGGGAAAGCACAGATGCTGGTAACTACCAGTAATACAGATAATTCAGAGATAGCAAAAGTGACTTAACAGCTGATAAAAGCTGTATGATTGATACTCACCGTGGTGCCACCCAGCCAGAGTGACAGTACAGAGATCATACTGAAAGTCACAAGAGACAGAAACTCCTTTCTGATCAGATATTTCTATTTTGTTGGCTTGTCGCCTTGAATCTGTGGTATTTTCAAGGGATTGATCCAATACTTGGCAGTTCTCTTCCGTAAGGGAGAAGTTATACATCTTGGATATCTGTTTTAAAATGAAAATGCAATTTCAGATCTATCATAGTGGAAGTTCTGTTCCAGGTAAGCTCAGTGTGGATTTGCAGSTAGGATGAGGTCAATTTAGTCCAGAATTAGGCAAGAACAGGGTTGTGTTAAATTTCTGAAAGATCAGAAAACACAAAGCCTCCCTCTCACTGCCATTCCCTTAGACACTRTCAGAGGAAAGTTGAAAGGTTTCTTTCATATAGAGAGCGAAGAGGCAGCCCTTAAAGTTAAACCCTGAGTTAAACTGGTTTTGTTTTGGAGAYGTATTTTCTATTTAAGAAGTGGTTWATTTAAAGCCCTTGTCTGAGAATGCTTCTGATCTATGTTTTGAGCATTAATACTTCAAAAACTTTTTTTTTGGTCAGTTGAAGAAAATTTCTGCCACAAATAAAAAACGTTTTGACTTGCTCCTCCTACCTTTAGTCGTGGGTAGATACTGATCACAGTCTGGTTCATCTCCACATACAGTGATCTTGAGTTCCTAGTTTCCTCATTTAGTATGACAGTAAAAGCATTGTGAACAAAATCCTTGGCAAGGAGCACACTGCACTTTGATGCCAAATCATACATTTTTCCATCAAAAGTCACRAGATGCTTGGTTCCCACTAAAATAGCATGATCTGGAGAATGGCATTTCAGAAGAAACATCTGAGTTTTCACAGAGCAGTAAATGCTGTGCATACCCACACAGATCTTCTTTCTGGCATACTCTTAGAATAATTTCCCAACTTTTTTATTACACTGATATTACTACRTTTACATTTTAATTAGTTACACTATAGTTGCTCTGCAACAAATATTTTCTCAGAAACAAAGCAGTTTAATTATTTAGTTTTTGTTCTAGATTTACCTGAGTGCCCTAAAACTGAGAAATTTGAATTGGGATTCAGAGCTTATCTTGATTTATCATACTGCTTGATAGTCATATTTACAAACRCACACACACTACATTCTTATGCATAAAACACAAGAATATTAATTGTCTCTAAAAACAATACTTCCAAACCAGTTTATCACACAGCTGTAGTCCAGGAAATTCTGCAGATACGTCACTCAGATTATTTGGTCACTAGGACCTACTTTCACAGCCCTCTGTTGTGTCTGTCTRCTGGAAGGAAACTGCTAAATAGGGTTTTCTGGAAAAGCCAAGGGACAGTTGGGACCATTAGAGCATTCCTTTAGCATTTAGCAATCCTCTTACAGGCAATACTGTCTCTGAAGTTTTGGAAGGGCTGAGCTTGCTCATCCTAGAGGCAGCAGAGATGAAGTCACCAGCCTCCAAGCCTCCATGCCAGGACACAGAGCCAACAGGTATGACGGGCACTGAACCATGGTATCAACTCACAAGGGATATGGACAAGGCAGATAAATAGCACCTGCTGATTTCCAGTCTCAAGAGTAGGAAGTGTGGAATTGCAAAATTTGCATGAATATTAAGTAGAGCAGTGTTACTGCATGTCAGCTTTGCCCAGAATGCTGATCTTACACATACCACTACTGTCTTACAAGAAATACTATATGTAAGTTTATAGGAAAATTATTCATTAGCAACCATCTCGATGTAAACCACTATTACAAATATGATTTATGAAATTAAAAACTGAGTGGAAATAGACCCAGTTAGAAAAACAAAGSAGCTCTTTGAAAGGGCTTACATTCAAAGGGGCTCTCCATCATCCTCCGTTTGAATCTGTAATACTCTGCAAGTATGTTGAGATTGTAGAGGTCTTGCAGAGGCCTCATCAATTTTTCTCCAATGAGGTAACTGGTAACATTTGCCAGCTGCAGGGACAGGTCTGCTTTAGGCAGTACTGGCAGTTTTGCTGCCACCGAACAGTTCCTGTAGAATACAAACAGTACACCCCTTATCTTCTGAACTGATGAAATGCTTTATTATTAGAAATGTGGAAGTGAAATATTCGTAAGAACTGTAGTGTGGTTAGAAAAGCAAAACAGCCATACTCTGGCCACGAGCTGCACTGCCCCAGGCCATCTCAGGCCAGTTATCAGTTACTGATACCCTGTTTGYTCCCAGCAGCTCCTTTCAAAGGCGGTAGGGCCTGGCATAGAAATGAACGTTAGGGTGTGATGTGCCCAATGCGAAGAGTGGTTGGGCGGCTGTCCAGAGCCCTCAGCTGCAAACTGACAGGAAGACTAACTATGCACATATCCATTTAAAACACTGCCCAGAGCCAGGATCCTGCAAATACACCAGTTACCAGTTACCTGGGTGAAAAACTGTAAAGATTCAGTAATGGCTTCCGGATCTTGCTCACAGCTCTGGAAAACRTGGCCTCTGCCCACCTGAGCACCTGCTGTGTAGCCTGTCATAGAGATAGATTATAAAACCAACTTCAGTATAGCTTCAGGGCAGGGCAGTACTTCCAAATGAGTTTTAAATCAATAGTAAGTGAAAGACTACTTTAGTTTCACCTTTTCCACCTTGCCTCACAGCATCTTATCATGCAGAAGTCAATATCCACAGGACAGACTCTAGTCACAACAACAACAAATAATGGACAGAAATACATTCTTCCTAAATAACACTAAAGTATACCATTACTTCACTAAGTTAATGTGCTTCAGTAGCTTGGAAAGGACTGGTTAATAACTGGACTTCGTTAATATGAATTAGCTTCATATCTTTCATGCTTTTCATTTCAACTGGAAGAGCACAAATTTACTTATACACTGTTTATTGGGATCAGAATTCCTCTCTGTAGAAGAAAAAAAAGTAAAATAAAAAGAATTCATCTTCATGAATGACAGATTACTGCTSCTATGATTTCAACCAGAACTAATAAAACAACCTCTCCTCTAGCTGGAAAAGTACTGCTTTCAAAGCCTGACAAATATTTCAACAGCAGTCGATAAGCTGTGCACAAGCTTAATACATGGAAAGACAACTGCCCTGTTTCCAGAAAGAAAAACAGTCAACTATTTTGTGTATCCACAGTTCAAAGCTGAGACTTAAACTTGTAGGCCTTGTCTTTCAAACCATTAAAAACTGAGAACTGAGTTATACCAACCATATCCATGCCTGCTTTCACAACCTTTAATGCCACCTGGATTGGTTCCATTAGCCACACATCTTTTACAATCTTGGGTAAAAAAGCCTGGATTTTCTTGATGTACTCTTCTGTCTTCTCTGTCCAGACTTCATCCAGTGGCTTCAAGGTTACATCATAGTAGGCGTCCTTCAAAGTGGCTAATGGCTCTGAAGCAAACACATYCATGAGACAAACTTTAGCTGGTTTGGTACAAAGTGACTGTTTCTGCTCAACTTCCAGCACAAGTGAAGGAGGGCCACACAAAAGCTGGAAGAGGCAGCTGTGTTTCCATGGCACTCAGGCACATTGCTCAGGTTTGAGCTTAAAGAGGCATTTGGCTCTAAGCCTGACCCCTTAGAAATACATCACTGTTGTCCAAAAGGAATGTCAGGGATGCTCTGCAATGTGCCACCATCAGAGCTGTGCTGCACAAACTGCACCTGCTGAGCAACAGGACAGTTTGGTCACAACTGATTTCAAGCATGGTGTACCAACTAAATCCAGCTATTGAGTGGGAAGAGCTTAGAGCTAAGTGGTGCAAAGTGAGTTTTTACCCCTGTGAGAACTGAAGGYTCTCGCAGCTAATTCCATCTGACCACATTTCTCAAAGGTTTCAATCTGGGCCACAGTCCAGCTGAACAGTAAATTAGTGGCTACTGGATAGGCTTGGAAAAAAACAGATCAAGTGAAATCTGATTAGTACAAGCATTAAAAACTCAAGGATGGATATGAACAGCCCTTTGGGAGGAAAGGCTTGCCAAGGAACTGTTAGCAGAAATAATTCAGCTTAGGAATCAAGGACTCTTGTTCTCATCCGACTGAACCCAGCCTCCTGTGACCGAGAGAAAGCCTCACCACTGATTTCATTAGAAAGGTGCTCACACAGAGCCTGCTCAGAGCTTATTGCATCAAGGTTCCCACTCTGTGCACTAAGAGCCAAGGTCAGCACTTTTTGCCAGATCAAAATAGAAACCTCTGTGCTGTTCAGTATGTTTTATAGTTTACAGTTAAGTTTGGTTTGCTCTGCACTAACACTGTCCCTATTACTCCCRTTTTGCTTACTTTGTAATTCTTTCTGCATTTGCTGGACAACATCTTGAATTTTCTCCAGGTAAAGTGGGATCTTGCTTCTCAGAATGTGCCCRATTCCACTTTGCTTCCACACGTGAGTGACAGCTCTGCCTGCACTGTGCAGGAATCCTGCTGCCTTTTGCAAGGCCAGAGAAGGCCAGCCAGCTGCTTCAGACAGGAAACCAATGTGCTGCACCTACAGTGGTTCCAAAAAAGAAGCAATTTCAAAACACACAGTGATCTCAAGCAAAGCTTTGACTTCATTGCAAAGCAGTTCTGACTCCTCAGTGGTGGTGCAGAAATACAGGATCTACCATAAAACATGGTGTTTTCAGTGTTTTTATCTACCATAAAACATGCTTTTTGTCTCTCTATGAGTTATAGGTCAGCACAGGAGTAATCACTGAAATGTTTGAGCAAAACAAAACAGCTGCAGACAATATAATGATATTTAATTCGCACTGCATGAACACTTCATGGTGTTTTCACAGATGATGTACAGATACTTACTGATCTCCTGAATCTCCACAGGTACCCATCAAACTTCTTTATCTTTTCTATCAGTTTGGYTTTCAAAAGGCTCCCAATTTCATTAAGCTTGTTCTGTGAGAAGATTATTAAAACCTTGAATTTATTACTTAAAATTGCTTGTTCTTGATCCAAATCATTCAAAGCTCTCACTAGTTCAAATGCCAGCAAAGATCCACAGTGGCCTCACGTTTCCAAGGGGAAACAACTTCTGCACTATTCAATGGATAGACATGGGAACAGAGAAGTCAAACAATGAAAAGCAGGAAGCCTCCCCCAAGCAGAGAGATGTGAAACCTTATTAAAAGTGAAAGCACAATCAAGMATTCTAATCATTCATTTTGTAACCAACTCGYTGAGCAGTTAYTGCTGCTCTCACTTTYATTTAATTACCCTCCTCAGAGGATYCACCCTTTAGGAGAGGGTCCTGTRTTTCYATTCCTAGGTATGGCTGAATTCTTAATTCTCACCATGGTARCTATTCACATCAACGTGAAAATAATATTATTATGAGTTTAAAAATTGCATAATTTTGCCTGGTTACTCACCAAAATTCACACCTGGACCCTATGTGGAGGGTGCTCCATCAAAATGACAAAAATCAAACAATATTCTGGGAGAATCACACTGCAGTTAACAGCCACTCAAGGGGCTCACCTCAGCCTTAAGAATTGGATCTCCACATCCATGAGCCAGAAAATCCAAGCTTCCATTAGCGGCTGCTAGAGTCACCTGTCCCACATTTTCCTGCCTTTCACCATTGATGCTGAGRTAGGTGTTAATGGCAGCCTTCTGTTGCCCATCAGAACAAGCACTGATTTCCAATCCTTCTTCCAAATCCCCTTAGGGAATGAAAAGAGAGAACTTCATTTACAGGAACAACACTGACAGACATTGTTTCAAAGACAGCTTTTAATTACTTAGGTGATCAATCTGTGTGTTAGGTGTAGAGGAAAAAAAAACAGACGAGATAAACAGGAAAAATTACATCAGTGTCAGGATTTGATCTCTCCTCTGTGGCTTGAGAATTAGTTACAAATACACGTTTGTTACTGCAAAGGAAGCACTGGAGCACTGGATTAATGTAAATCKTAATCTCTCAATCACACTGATTCACAGGCCTTTTTTTCCGATTTAAGTCTTCACTGTCCCTTGTAGCATGTGTTTCAAAACTGCTCAGCCCTTAAATGAAAGCCTGTCAGTTCCACTCACCACACAAAGTCGTTTCTACAGAAGAGCTGATGAGCATAAACAAATGGCTGGCAAAGTGCACATAGAATCAGTCGAGAGAGCTGAATTGAATCATTTCTACAAACTTCYGACTTCAGTGATTCACCAACTGATGGTCCTAATCTCAAAAACATTGTAACATTTACTATGTGCGTGAAGACAGGAACCTGAGAGGAACTCCCCTGCAGACACGTGGMATGGCAAATCCATAAATGAAACAAGGGCTGGGATTATCAGCAACATGGGTTTGAGACAACTGGGATATCACCAAATCTGCTTTGTTTGCACCCAACTCTAATGTAGCTGAAATGTGGATGGGYCCCACTCATCTAACTTTACTCATCTAAAAGTTAGGCACAACTTGAACCAACAGCCCTTTTTATCTCTCTGTCAGTCAGAGCTGAGTGCTGTGAGACAATCCCCTGCAGCCAGTGTTTGTACACATCCCAGTTCCTACAGCTATTCCAGCATGTGGTACCACCAGTGTGGAGGTGCCTCTCATTCCCTTCACTGAATTTAGAATGTAATGATTATCTTAAACAAAGCACACAACTTTAAGATAGTTAAATAAAGAGGAAATTAATCCTATCTTTGCTATGATCTACTGCAGCCCTTTCAGGCTGGTAATAATATAAAAATGGATCCCAAACTTACTTTTGTAACAAGTTTTAAGCTTCAGCTTCTCTTAATCTGAAAAACCATACCCTGAATGAATTGAGCTGGGAGTCACAGAATAGCTCCAGTTGGAAGAGTCCCCTAAAGATCAAGCCCAGCTCCCTGCTCTTTGTAGGAAACATAGAACTAAGTCCTGTGGCTGAGAGCATTGTCAGTGAARGTACATACCTTTCAGATACCCCATGTAGTACTGAAAACACTCCTTTCCTTTTGAAGCAGMTGCTTTTATTTTCTCTTTCTGATCAATAATCCCCTCCACCAGGATTTGGCTCTGGCCAGATGAGGAAGCAGCAGWTCCTGTCAGGCCTAGCCAAATATCTTCAAAGGCTTTTAACTGCAGCCGTAAAGGAAAAACATTTATTCAAAGCCACCCCACAGAATTAATGATCGTTCAGAGATAGTGCTTAAATAWCAGTGCTTCCCACAAAAGGGTAGGTGATGAGGGAAATATTTCCCARTGCTTGTCCAGCATGCAGGAGTTACATTGAGAGAGGCACAAACATCAGAGTGATTGGCTCAGGAGCTGAATGAATGGATAGCACGAGGCTTGTGGGCTAAATTTTAATGGTAGCAATGAAAGAAACATCATGTTACAGTCRGTTCCCTGTGAGGCTGCTAATTTGTGCCATTAATTCCAAAAGAGAATAAAGAAAGCTCATGCAGAGCAGTTGATACTCATTTCATCTCCCTCCTCTCTAAAGAGAGAGATGGAAAAATAATTCCACATTTGTTACTAATTATATCATCACAATCATTTTGTGAAGGAATAGTGTTGTCTCAGCTAATGCCTGACTACCCACATTCCTGCTAATGAAGAGGTGCTGACCCCGTTAGTTTTCTGCCTCACTCTGTTGCCTCCATCTGCCTCTCTACATTATTAATTTCACAGGGAATTAAAAGCAAATGCTAAATAGCGGAGGAGAGAAAAAGAGATTTGCCTYAGATCTGCCTGCACCTGACCCGTTYGGGAGATAGATGGCAGCAGGCTTTTAAAAACCAAAACTCAGTGCCAGTAAAATRAAATAGAAACTCACTTCAATTTCCAAAGAATAGTTCTTCACAGCAGCAGTGCTCTGATTCTTTAKGGATACTCCAATCAACCCCTCATCTCTCCCGTGATCACCAAGGCGGAATCTGCCCTCTGACTGCAAAATGATGTCATCTTTGTTGAGCTGGTGCTTTCCAGATAAAACAATTACCTAAGTATGCACAAAAAAGGTGTTAAAACTTCCAAATTCTTCCAAACAAAATGGGCTCTACTTTGAGCAGTAAGAAGTTGTACAATGGCAGCATTCTCATGAAATTACACAATGAACAAAACTTGTAGTTTCAGAAACCAGSACATCCTGCTGCTCCTYATAGCACTGTCTTCATTTACATCTTCAGTTTCTGTGCTATAACAAAGTGATTACAGCTTAAGGCCAGATGAACAGCTGCAAAGAACTACATTTTGTTAAAATGTCCAGTGTTTATTACTCCTATTCGGATACAGACATTTTGATAAAGTTGGGAGTGCACAGGAKGTGAGGTGAATAYTGTCCTGGTTTTGACTGGGAYAGAGTTAATTTCTTTTCAGTAGGTTGTACAGTGCTGTGTTTGGGAATGGGAATGGTGTTGGTCATACACTGATGTTTTGGGTTTTGCTAAGCTGTGCTTATCCTGCCAAGGATTTTTTCGTGTGTGTGTCTCCTGTTGTGCCAGTGAGGAAGTGCACAAAAGCACAGCTGGGACAGGTGATCCAGTCTGGCCAAMGGGACATTCCACACACAGAACAGCATGCCCAGTACAGAAGCTGGGGTGAGTTACCTGGACAGGGCTGATCATGGCTTAGGAAGGGGGTTCTGACATCAGTCAGCAGCTGCTGAACAATTGTGTGTGCACCACTTGTTTGTTTGTTTCCTTTCCCTCTTTATTATCATCATTATTTATTATTATTATTGTATTTTACTTCGTTTTCAATTATTTAACTGTTCTTCTCTGAACATACAAGTTTTGCTTTTGATTCTCCTCCCCATTCCACAGGGAGAGGAGGGGAGAGAGAAGATTGAATGAGTGCCTGTGGTGCTTCATTTCCAGCTGGGCTTAAACCATGATACCTTTGAAAAGGATGATCCAAAAATACAGCAGCACCTGCTTTTGGAATGACACACATATACATTCTTTGCATTACAAACAAGTTCTATCCCACCTTGGTCTGGGAAAAATTTTCCTGTTTCTAACAGAGTGTGACCTGCTCTGACAGTAAATGAGGAAACAAAGATGTGTTTTAGCCACTAGGAACTGGGAAGAGACATTTGCTGCAAGTTCTAGGTTCTGTGTTTGTTGTGCTTCTCTACAGGCAGTTCTGAGGTCCAGCATGCACCTAAGGAAGATCATGGATGGACCTTCCGTTTATGTGTGTAACAGAAAAATAAGGTTACATTAAGGTTCAAAAATCCATCACTACCAGCAGAGCAATCACAAAACCCAGCAAACTTTTACCCACAGGGGAAGGAAAGCACTTTTGCTCATCTCTAGTTTCTTTTTGATCACTTATGAGTCTGTTTTGGTATTCTCCAGAAACACGAAATTAAAAGACCTTTGAAAGAGGAAGTGGCAAGCAGAACCTTTCTGCCTGAAGCTATCAAAAGACTATTTATTTAAGTTACAGAAGTATGGTAATTCTGAAGATTGCAGCTGAGGAAAATTTAAGTCTCCAAACCAGTAATTACATTAAAGTACATCTGAAGTAGGTTCATGTTTATGTCAGACTTACATTTGGAAGGTCACAGAACTCAAAGCTTGTATAGTAATCCAAGCAAGAGCAGTAGTTTGTTTCTATTTTACCCAGAATCTTCTGTTTGGTACATGRGGTCAGGAAAATATTTTCCAGGTCAGCTTCTAACTGGAACTTATCAGGATACAAGAATTGATTTCTCTGCAATGAGCCAAGAAAACARAGCTAAAAGATGAGAGCAGGGTCTCAGACACTCCTTGGAGCCCACTCATCCATCCCCAGGCTGGCTTTTGTTACTCCAGTAGCTTCAGGATTTTAATGTAACATTTCCAAAACATAACTTTCYTGCTATACAATGTTTTGGCTTAGCCTTCTTACTGGTCCCCATCCTACAGAATTAACAGTTTTGCAAATTTAGGGCACAGATGAGGCCTCTAGTTTGTAAAAACTCTTTCTTAACTATRCTCCATTTAGCTTTCTTCCTGTGTAGAGAAACATGTAAAAGATAAAGTGAAATAATGATATTCACTGAAAATGGTGCTGTACAGAAGCTTTCTTAAAATCCACTCAACATTACATCTAAAATAAAAGTAATTTCTCATCTACTAAGAACAGCTTCCATAAAAATGGTGACTCAACAGATAAAACTGTCTTCTCTTACCTCATAGGTGAAATTGTGTTTGAATTTTTTGTCATCCCAGTTCAGATCTAGGTTTTCATTAAACAATGTTGATCTTTGCTCTAAAGACCCACATGCAYGCAGGTGTTCCATGCTTAATATTCTTTGAAGCTGGAAGAGGGGAAAAAATTGACACATGCAAATAATAAAAAACCAAAAGTGTTTAGTATATCCTAGGCAGTAGGTTTCCTTGGAAAAACACACTGTGAGAACCCCTGAACAGTGAGAACCCCATAAAACACTGCTTCAATTTCTCCCAAGAAAGCTAAAGGGTTCTTGGGATAATTCTGTCCTGAGGGAAAGTTGCAGCCCAAGTACAACTATGTCTGGCACCATGAAACAGAATTTTCCACAGGGTTTATTTTTCTTCCTCTGAGACATGAAAAGGTTGACTTCAAGTAAAAGGCTTTCACATGGTAACAAGGGCGGAATATAAAAATCATTCTGTGAGGATCATAGAAACTTAGCTACASTCATCCCTTCCAAGGCTGCCAGACTCATACCTGACCTGCAGAGAGTGTCACACAGCCACCCCAGGCAGTGATGTCCAGCTTGGATTTATCCTCCAGGCTCAGCCRGAGGTGAGCAGGCTGCCCTGCATTCCCTGAGACCTGCAACTGAAACCAGAGAAGGATTTGTCCAGCAGCAAAACCAGAACCAGCAGAATGATCCCCATCCAGTGGAGGAAAACAGAACCACAGGGAAATCAGTGACAGAGCCAGGTCAAAACTCCAKGGAACTCTGTGGCCTGGAAGCTCCAGGCCTGAGCCAAACACAGAGAAGCTGCRCTTGTACAACTGAGGCAATGGAAGGTTTTGGTTGCCCTCTCTGGAAACTTCTGTGTCTGTCATGCAAAGAAATTAATGGCACAGCTGCAATAATGACCCTACAAGAGAATTTATTCCTCTGAATACAATTCTTGAGCAAACCTCCCTGAGGACCAAAGGGCTCCAGATGAACAAACCCTGCACTGCTGGCACATCTTATTAYTGAAGTCTTCATCCTCAGCAGCTGCAGTGTCCTGACCCACACAGTGCAGTGCCAGACAGAAATGATACCGTAGTATTTCATCTGGAAGGATGATTTGAAGATTTCCTCCTCCTATTTTTCCCTATATACACTTTGCAAGTGCACCTCACAGTTGTGTTTTAAAGCCTTTCTAGTCTTGCACATTTCCACACTTGTGTTGCAATTTCCTATACAATCCAAAAATTTACATTTTCTTCACAGTGGTATCAGACATTTTCTGATTTGATTTTGTTGTGGGGGGTTTTGTGGTTTTTCTTATGTGTATGGAAAAGGAGTTTGCTCATTGCTTTATGGCTGAAATTTGCCTCATTTTCATTGCTTGGCTGTTCCTGTGYACTTCTGGATTCTTCCCATCCAAAATAGGTCAATGCTAAAAGTGCAAGACTGTCAGTTAGAAACAGTAATGCCTAAAAAAGAAAACAGTGCTGATGGTTTGGACACAAGGAGGGAACAGCACTCAGTGCTCTTTACGTTTTTCAGGATGATATCTGGTTCTGCAGTTCTTGGGGATGGAAGGCACACTCACAGTAATTGCAGCATCACAGATGAGTATTTTGCAAACCTGTCTCRTGATCTCACCTGCTGGTTGTACTTTCTGCCTCTTCTTTCTGCCAAGGAATGCACTTCCAATTGCTTCAGAGTGTAATTAAATGGGTGGGCAACARTGGCTCTGTAGCTCGTCCGGTGTCTCCCAAATTTCAGAGAAGATGACACTGATATCTGATCCATATCAACAGATGGAAAAGGAACTTGTGAAGTAAATCACCTCTCACATGTGACCTCAAACATACATCCAGWAAGATTTCCTTGTACCTTTTCCTCAGACTATGTACATAATAAAATTATATTTTAAGAACTTCTCAATCAACTTCTCCTAGATCTGTCTTTTTTACTCCATAWTTTTTTTTAAATAGTGCTGACTTGAAGAAAACAGACTGGTTTAAACTGTTCCATATTTGTCATTTTTGCTAATGAAGAGGAGAGTGAAAGGGTGAAATACAAAAGAGCTTTGACTGAATCAATAAAACCAAAAATGCTAAGCAAGGTATGTGTCCCCTTCTTGTAGGTAAACACAGTATTGTACCCACACAACAARTTCTTCATCCTTTTCATCCTCACACTAATGCTCACACTTGCTCACTTGTCTTASATTTTCTTTCTTTGTCCCTAAGGTGCTTGAAGCATGACATTTGTGCTATTCTTTCCATCTACTCTGAAAGGCCTTTACCCAGTGCTTTGAAGTTTATGCATTTCATCACMATTGGTTAAGCAGCAAGGTGTGGGGTTACTGCAAACAAAAAAAAATAGTGTGACCTGATAATACTTCCAACAAGAATATGCTCATCTTTCATAGTCAGAATTTTTATACATCCAAGRAGGGTGATCATTTGCTTTATAGTTCAATTCCCTGGCTTGCTTAGTGTTTTTTTAATTTAAAAAAAAATCACTTGATATTCCTGTCATTCTAACATTTATTTGTTCTGAGCCATTGTACCTGGTCCTTCTCATTCCAGCTGACAGTGAGATCRTCCCAGTGACTGCGTGCAGAATGTTTCACATACAAGTTGACCCTGGTTTGCCATGGGAAAGGGATGGAGAGAGGATGGAGAAGTTCCACTGCAAGGAAAACAAACAAGTAAGATTTCCCATCAGGAATCGTGGTCATTGACAGGACATTTCCCACAGGCAGCAGGACAGCACTTGGTTCCCAGGAAAACACGGTCTGTGCTCACACACACACACACACACACATCTCCACAGCAGTCACTCACACTCCCCTTCAGTGCACTGATTTCTGCTCAAAATGAGGAAATGTAAGTGAAAGCAGGAACAATCTCTCTATTTATCAGCAATACAGCAGTTACCTGCAATAATCTAAAGATTAACAGCTACACCCGGAGCAACTTCAGCAACAACAGCCAGGGAGGTAATCTGTGTGAAACTGAGATGGCYTTACACTGGAAGAGGAACAGCTTACAACACCCAAACAAGTAAGAGCAACTATCTCTATTTTCAGAACATAAAGCCTCAACATAAGGGTTTAACACCTCAGGATAGCAGCCAGTGTGACCAGTGCTCCCTGAAGGACCCAGTGCTTGTGTTCCACAAAGCAGAAATGGTATCCTGAAGTGGATGTTTCTAACAGCCAGACTTACAWTGAATTTAAAGCAAACAAGGTCTTAGAAGGCCTAGGTTGAAACCGGGATTGAAACCATTTGAACATGCATTTTGAGATCAGATTTATGTAGTTTATTTTATAGTCTGTTTTGAACACTTGTGAAGGGCTTGAGAAACCTACCCTGAATGCCATGACCTCCAGACAGCTTTGGGAAGAGTCCAGTGTAASTGCCTGTTAACTTTATCTCTTGGCCATCCCACAGGGCAATGTGCTTCAGCAGGTGTGTTCTGTTGCCTTTCTGGTAAATTGTCAAAAGMACAAGTTGCCTTGGAAGAATCTTTAACTAAAAATAAAAGAGGGGARACATTAAATCCCAAGTTCTCTGAGGAATTAAAAACCTAAGGGTACCTTTGGTACCCCAAAGTCCTGTGGTGTCTATAGGAATGTGCTTTTCAAAGGTCTAGTACGTTGATACTCTAAGGCCACTGCTCTCGTATAAACAACCATTCATTTCTGCTTGTCTTCATTTCTACAGAAAGTCATCTTTGCAAATAATGGAACACACAGAAACAACTGAGCATTCCCTTTATAACAGTCTTTTCCTGTTATACAGTTTGATTTTCTATCTTTTATCTTACAGAATAATTCTTACAAGAGACCAACTATTACAGAATAAATCCAGTAGACAGAACAAACAATATGTATTTGTGACATCTTTTCTTATTTAGAAAAAGTGATGTGTGGCACCTRCATAATAAAAACTGGCAATCATTCAGTTTGTAACACATTATTTTTCTTGTTTCTTACAAGTCCTATATGTGTGCTCCATCTATAGGAGCAAATAYATATCAAATCAAACTAATCTACAGTCAAACGTTTGCCACTGGAGAAATGAAGGGCAAAACACCTCACAGAGCAGGAGCTGTGTCTGACCTTCTCTGCCTGGCAGCCACCCCAAGTGCCCTCCTGTCACAGCCTGCCTTTCACCATCAGTGGAGGATACCAACCTGGGCCATGGTCTGTGCCACTTCAATGGCATTAGTGTAGCTGCTTCCAGTGAAAGTTAGCTTTGCTGAAACATTGAAATCCCTTTTTTCCATCCTGAGGTAGAGTTTGCCTTTTGCTTCACTCAAATCATAATTTACCTTTTCAAGGTCCCATTAAATTAAAAAAAAAAAAAAGGAAGAAAAAGGAAAATTACTGAGATTGTTAAAATCTTTAGAAACATGAACATCCTCAACAACAACAAAAATGTAAGAGATACTAGTACTAGAAATAAAGCAGCTTCTCTCCTAAAATATTAGACAAGTCTAATTTGCAGTGATGCATGTGCCAGATTACCTGCAGACAGTTACCTTAGAAGACAGTTCTGCTGCACAGGGGAAGTACTGCAGAAAGAAGGGATGAGTCTGGAGTGCTTTTATATTCAACTCCTCACTGGAGGGAAGAAATGTACTTTAATTCAAATATATTTCAGAAAGTCCACTCTTGCTGGCAGCACAAGTTCATCTGAGTTAGATCCTAGTCTACCATGGCTTTTAGAGTTACAAAAGGCAATACTTTCCACTTCGCAAATACTGTCAYGGTTTGCAAACTTAGAATTTACAATTATTAGTGATTTTAACAGGGCTTACCAGACCTTCAGTGCAAAGGTCTTTTGCTACAAACTTAAGAAATAACTGAAATACCCCAAGGCTGAAAATATCACACCTCTTAAACACCCTTAAAAGCCTACAGCTTCGTGCACATGCAGCCATACTGATACCAGCTTAGAAAACCAAGTCTCCATAATTCCACCAATTTTAATTGTGCCAGAAACTAATAAGATTTAACCAGTTATGTCAAGTTATATTTTTAAGTACTTGTCTGGCTCTGGCCTAGAGTGTTATGGGCTTTTTCACTGTCTGCACCTTGGATGCTGTGCGGGCAGGCAGAGAGACAGGCATGTCCCAAGCTGTGAGGGGAGGAATCTGCAGCCTTCAGAACCTTCCTGAGGCTTACAGACTGCCTGGTGTGACAACTCACTTTATCCAAGTTTTGTTATCCGTTTCATCAGTGATTTGGTGATTAATACATGAGCTGTTTTCCAGGGAATCAYAGTGGCCTAATGGCATTTTATACAGTGCTCAGAATGACCCTTTTACCCTTGCTGATCTTTCTTTCTGCTGATGGAAAAGGTGAAGTTTGTGTTTTGTTCATAGGTCAGCCTCAGAGCTCCTTCAGTTTCATTTTCAGTCATGACTTCTTGAACTGTCATCTGTGGAGGGGGAAAGAAACAAATCACATGCTCTRACTTCTACCCATCATTTCACCTCAACTGAGCACAATCTCTTTACTCACTCAAAACTATCTTCTTGTCTGAAGTTTATCTTACAGACAGACCTTCTTTAGATGTAAACTAAGAGCTTCAAGAGAGGTTTCCCTTTTTTTTTTCTTTTTTGGTATGTTTCCATAATTTGTTATTAACAAATATTAGTGTTACTTTCAATGTACTCTGGTTTAAGGCTAAAGCTACTGGTCCTTGTTTATGTCTTCCCCACTCTCATTTTTCATATACTGGGAAAAAATTGCCTTTTCTTTTTTTTTTTTTTTTTTTTTTTTTTTAAAAGAAACAGATGAGTTTCCACAAATTTTTTTTACTCCAGGATATTTTCTTTTATTTTCTTCCTCCCATGGCTCTTGGATCATCTACAACTTTATCCAGAAAATGCTAAAGAATCCCTCTGGGGAAGATGGGGGCTGTCTCCCACATTTCAATATTAACACACGTTGTGTTTGCCAAAGTCTGCAGGAACAGTTAATTTTGAAGTCCCTTGGTTATACTCATACCTTATACATMAAYAASGCATCTCAAGAATTACCATSTCTGCTTTTCTTTGTTTTCATTCAAACAGAGGATATTTRTTTAGTGGATAAAAGACATTTCACTAAATATTAATTGGGAACAAGCAGTAAAAATGTCTTATATCTTTCAATAAAATGTTAACATTATATATTCCCTTGAAACACTGATTTAACATTGATCAGGTTTAATATTGATCTAATGTTTATATTCAGAAAAGTTGACCTTCATTCTTGCATCCTACCTACATATCTCCTGTTATTTGAAGAGAAGGTGGTGCATCATTTGGAAGTGCTGTTCTGCRTACTACCCTTCAAAAGGGAAGGAGACATTTCAACTAATGCTTCTTTCTCCCAAGGGATAAACAGGTACAGCTTTTGTTGACCCTATCAAGTAGTTGGGAATATAAATCTACTTCTGCTTATTCAACACTGAAGCATTTTAGGTATTTGTGCTACAAGTGGTTTTAACCAAGACAAGGAGTTCTGTAGGTATGAAGGACAGCTGTTTTCTACCAAAAGTTCTTTCTACTTTTGTGAGCCCTATTAACTGCAAAGTGACAGAAAATGTGTGCCTTCCTGAAATGATTAACCCTGAAACTTTCAGGTACCTGACCAGTTTCCTTGGAAACAGGCCCCTGGCTGAGTACTGAAGTTAAATGAGGATTCAGATGAACTGGGCTAARGCAGCTCTTATCTGCACTTATATAAATAAACCTGGAGTAATTTCACYGAGGCTGCTGGAAGCGCTCTGGATTCCTGCAAATGTATCTCAAGTGACAGCTCTAATCAAAGCAGAGCAAAAGCTGTGGAGTGTATTACCTGAAGAAAGAAGGGAAGTCCCAGGTGATGGAGAAGTGATATYGAATGCTTCACCTCTGCCATGAATACAAATACACCAAGGAGTTCAAAGTCTGTATCAACATCCACAGTCACAGTTATATCTTTCTCATCATACTGGATTTCACAGATAGTCTTGGCTTTGTTTTCTGTATAGAAGGAACAAAATAGTGCCAATTTGAGCAGCTAATTTTTCTGAAATTTCAGTATTGCCTGCATAAAATCAATCCAGCCAGCTTTAGGGTTAATACATTCAWGACAAAGTCATCATTCAGGATTACAAGAACTTTGCCCTGTGGTTGGAGGAGTGCAGAGTTTTTCTGGATGTCCTTGAACTTTGTCCTTTCAAAGTCTTSTGGTAACAGAGCTTGTATACCCACATACAGCATTAAATGGCAAATCACTTCCTGTCAGGAATGTGTTCGTGCAGCCAGAGCTGACTAATCCATACAGCCAACGGCATCCCTGGCCTGCAGCAGCCACTTCCAGGGAAGAGCTCTGAGCTGTTCTGACCCCATTCTGACCTGGTTCCAGCCACAGCAGCTCAGCACTGCCCAAAGAGCATGGCCTGAAGACCAGCTTCTCATTTTTGAAAAGGAAAATACAGACGGCTAAAAGATAAAAATGAGATGAGAGATGTGAAACCTCCAATTTCTTCATGATAAGACAAAAACCACAGACATGAATGCAATCATACAGTGACGGTGGCTGTCCTGAGAGCGACCTCTCATCCTGCTGCTTTTTTCTGAATGAATTAAAGGAGATGGTGCCTCTCACATTTGTATTGATTCAGTGCTTGCTAACCTCAGTAATTCCTGCCCTTTGGTGCTCTCACTGTTAAATTTTCTTCAATATGAATAAATTCCCCTGGGGACATTGAAGGCACRTGACCACAATGTAAGAGGGATGTACAGATAGGATTTCTGCCAGGGCAAGCTTTGAGGGTAGACTGGCTTCATCAACTAATCACAGGTGCAGTTTCAGAATGGCTATTTTACTTACAAAGGTAAAGCCTCTTCTTAGGTAATACCAGCAGCTCTTAACTCAATTTGTAGCTGTTGAAAGAACAGCTGAAAAACACCCTCAAAGAGCTATTATAGAATAAAAACATACCTGATTTCTGTAAACTGAGAATCAAGTTGATTGCCTTAGGGTAGCCAGATGCCTGGAGTAGCTCACTGYTGTGTACACTCTGGCAGAAGATATCCACTTGGTGGCCCACATGATAGGAGTTTATGATGTATGTGATTGATGTTTCTCCAGCTGCAATGTTCACATACCTCTCTTGAGTAGTGTTTCTCCCTTGAAAAACCACATCCATCTAAAAARTAAAGTGTAGATGTAAGTTCTCAAAACAATATTAAATGCTATTTAATTTTAAAACAGGAGAAAATGGAAAAGAAAGGAAGTTCTCTCTAGTCTACATTTACRTCAAACAAAACATATCTTGGCCTTTCATTAATTATCTTTGACTTTCCAGTATGAAACTCATTCAACTGAATGAGTGTCTAACCATGCCAGCCTCACTGATCTATGTTAAATTCTCATTTTTATCCCACACACACAACTCCCTGTAAAGGATACTTAATCTACACCTGACAATATTTACCAGATAGCAGGTACTCCAATACTTCCCTGAAAACAGCACCCAAAGAAATAATTCTTTAAGTATATAATTCCCATTAAAGGACATAGAAGCAGTATTTCAGTGGAATATTCCTGGTGAAACGTGCTGAAACTGTAGAGTTATTTGTACAGTACAAAATAGTAGCTGTCATTCAAGCCACGGGCTTGAATTACATCATTATAAAGGACAATAATTGTAATTTTAAAAAAACCAAACAACCCACAAAAAAACAAAACCACAAAACACACACACACACAAACCCGCCCCCCAAAACAATAACACAAAACCAAAAAAATACCCAAAACAAAACAACAAAACCCAAAACTACCTGTAAAGATGATGGGACTCCGACTTGTAGCAGCCATGGCAAAGAGTGATGGAAATTCCCTGTTATGTTGGTACTTGTTTCAAACTCCTGGATTTGTCCTTCGAGAACTGTTAGGTGAGTACCATAAAGCACTTTCATACTAAAGCTCCTGGTCACTTTGAGGTTCAAGATTGCCTGTGTGCAACAAAAATAAATTGTGAAAAGCATCGTTGATCAGGGTCCTTTCTTTGGCTGAAGTACTGTCATCTCAAAGATGTATTCAAAAGTAATCTTGTATTAATGGAACCTAGTTACAGGTGTCCCTTTTATTTTGAATGCAACATTTTAACATGGATGGCCAGTATGGCCATGTCTAAATGCTATTAAAGCAGTTACATGATTAAAAAAGAGGAAATGTTGTGTTGTCAGCTTGTGTGTCTCAGCTAAAGAAAGCTGCCAGGTCCCAGAGGCTTGAGGGGAAAAACACCATTTGGAAAGGACACTGCAGTGATATCCCTGCAGTGCTCCCCTCTGCCCTGTGTGTCCAGGGGACCCYGCCCCTCTGCCAGACACAAATGCACTGCCCTCCTCTCACTCCATACCAGGAGCCACCCTCCAGCCCCAGGCCTGTGCAAGGTCTGAGCCATTGTCCCAGGAGAACAAACGGAGCCTCTGGACTCCCCTCAAACTGAGCCTCTGGACTCTCCTCAAGAACAAAGGGAGCACCTGGACTCGCCCTTCACTGAAACAGCAAAAGCATAAAGTCACATCTACACCTGCTGTTCTTTGCCATCTCACTTCTGCAGCTGCTGCTTCCCTCATGGCAGGATTCCAGGCTGCATTCGTGCCTCCCCAGCCTTTGATAACTTACCTGCAACTCAATCTTGTCTTTTATTTGCAAAGTCTTCAAAGTCTCTATGTTATGAGTAAGTTTGTAGTTAAGAGACCCAACATCCAACTTCTGGATAAAGTTCAGTTCTTCTGTAATCTGCTCAGTCCAAGTAAATATGACATAAGTTAACATCTCTGATATAGAGACTTTTCTGAATAACTGTAATTATTGTAGTAATGATACACTGTAGTAAAACAATGAAAACTATGAAAACTTTATGGTGAAGAGTTGTCTAATTTTTTTAGAAGTCACAGCTTTGTACTGTATAAGGGAATATGTTGCACCAAGTGAAAACCCTTGGTAAGGAAGGTTTGATAAAATTTGCAAACGGGAGTCACRGATCATTGCAGATATCAAATTTGTTGCAGGAGGAATGGCTGATTTTGATTAATGGGAATTCGGTTACCTTCATTTGATTAATGAATGGGCTTTAAAACCAAACCAGGCCCTGCAAAATATTCCTTTTGAATTGTTTGGAGAAACAATATTTGCCAAATCAATTAGGTCACTTCAACCTCTATTTCACATATTACTGATGTGGAGGAGACACTTACCTGCTTACTGTTCACACAGAAATGAATAAATCCTTTATAGAAGTCACTGTTTTTTTCTGATATCACATCTAGTAACATCCTCATGGGAATGCCAATGTCAGCAGCTCCTTGAATATTATGGGTTAGCACTGCATCCAGCTCTTGCCTTGCCTGTTGGTATTTCACAGCAGATTTCAAAGCAGGTGTAGAACCCAAAGCTTGCTGCCATACMGAGTTCAAACCAGAAATCTGTCTCTCCTACAGTTCATATTAATTCAACTCCCATTACCTATTTTGTTTCTCAATGTCACAGAAACATGCAGAAATTACCAGTTATGGCAGGAAAGTGAAACATCATGAGGAAACAGGTACCTGTGTGTGTTCTYTACTCTCCTGCACTGATGACAAGAGCAGCCAAACTTGTAAATGTCAACAGAAAAGCAAGAGAATCACAGCCTTTCCTGTGCTGCTGTCTCACTGAATAAACAAACAGCAGCATCTCAATTAATCACTGCTTATTATTCTGCAGTGTGAATCACAGTGACATAAGGTACATCCAACAGAATGCCACAAACAAYGAAAATTTACACATAAAGAGCATGACAAGGAAATGATTCAGGCAGTGCCAGAGCCTGTATCCCGTTATCCTATACATTTGTTATTGCACACTGAAGGTGCCAGATTTTCAAAGATTTTCTTATTTTATTTTCACTCTGGCATTTATTATTAAAGCTTGACTATAGCAATAGGTTAGAGTACGTTACTCAGTACTTTATACACACAGCAGCCTGCAGGATACTCACATCAGTGACTTTTAGTATAAGAAGTCCTCGGAATTTACTTTCATCAACAGTGATCAGTGTCTGTGAATCTAGGTTCATTTCATCCTTCAAAATGTAGCCTGAACCATCAATTTTCACTGGTGCTCCAAGATCCTGTAAAAGACAAAAAAAAAAAATTAAAAATTCACCACTTTTACACTTAACCACATACATGTTATACCCCTGAAACATTTCATTCTTAATAGYAGCTTTAATAACACCTAGCTGTAAAATCAAGTATATCAGACAGCATAGCCATAGGATGTTAGAACAATCTTGATAGAATTTTAATAGATTTCATGAATTTTGTCTTTTTAATTTTGAATGTATCTGATTGTTTTTGATAAATGTGTCAGAATAAATAGAATACTGGACAATGTGGCAGCTCTTCCTGCCTCAGTAAAAGTTAAATCGTTTTCTATGCTTGGCATTATTCCAGTGCCCAAAGTGAAAATTCAGTGAAACAAKACAGTATACATAAATTATGTGTCATTCAGTTATTTATTATGGCAGGTCTGTTTTTGGAAAAGGGCAGGTGAATCATATTTGTATATTCAGATTTACCCTGACTTGCATATTGAATCCACAAATCACACTGTGATAATGTCTCTCTTGAACTTGCCATACACTGGATTTTCTGACCTGAAGATTATCTATTTACTTCATACATTTCTAAACTATTTCAGAGTTTGGTCCTCAAACTGCTGCGAAACTGTAACTGCTGATAAAGCAGAAAATTTGGCTTATGCYATATGAAAATAACAGTGAATGATTGGCTCCAAAAGTAAAATGCAACATTAAAAGAAAATGTTTTTCTTATTTCTCTGCTATCACTTTGAAATCCTTAGATTATTGTCTTTTGACTCTTAACAGGTACATTATCTTACATGTACAAATTCAGCATTAAAGGAGTAAGTTCTTTTCAGTACCTGAATTGTCTGGCATTTATTTTCTATAAGTATTTTCCACTGAAGGTTYTTCTCAGGGTCAAAGTCCCCATTCATTTGAAGCTCACAGGCACCCAGTTTCATTCCAATTCCAATCAGATATTTCAAGTGTTTCCGTGCAGTGATGGACAGCTCATTTTCCCTTGGGATTGCCTTCAGCTGGGGGAGGTCRTGCCTGAATTGAATTTCCAGGGTAATCTTCGGCTTGCATTCTGCTCTCACTTCAAGGTGGGCAGTTCTGCCTTCTGTTTCCAGGACAGAGAAAAGTTCTGCTTGGCACTTGTCTTTCTGAATGGATCCTGTGAGCCTTGACTGAGYTGGGAAACCGAGATCCTATCAAGATTTAAACAAAAAATCCTTTGGAATATGCAAACACTTTAAAACAAGTGTGTATTATATGATACAATATCAGAGGCAWAACCTACAATCTCATGCTGCCATTTTTCTCCCTCTCAACAAGAAAGATGGTGACTTTTCCTGAACAGGACCTGATGGAAGACTTTAGGACTGTCCTGCAGAATTCACAGCTTCTTTATCTTTACAAAGTTTTAYACTTACAAAAATACAAAATACCTGTTTCTTCAAAATGGCAAAGTTTATGGAACATTCTGTGYTTCATTCAAACCAGACCAATCTCAATTTTCAAACAAATCAATGTACAAAAAATAATAGGCCTAATGGTCATTCTTGCATCTGGTCATACAAGGTTTTGGATTTTAATACTTAAATTTCCAACTTGTCTTGTGCAACACGCCAAATGAAATGTTTCTCATCATTCTTTCAAAAGTATTTGAAAGAATTTTCARTGGTGAAATTTTTACTATTTTTAACACTTCAAGAGGTTTTCATTCCCTCTTTGCTATGACTTTCCTGTCATTTTTGCTCTTATGCTGCCACCTTGTAGTTAAGGAAGTTACTCAACTTGAGGATTTGAAARCAAAATATAAAAGCCTATGAATATCTAAAAAAAACCCCTGAATTTGCAATAATCATTTTTCTAATGTCAGTGAGGCTAAATGGAAAAAGCAAGGAAATTCTACTTTGCTATAATTCACGAAGGCCAGGGGATATATTTTTGACAGAGTTCAGGCTAATATTGCTGTTCAGCCTTAGAGGGCAGTGTTGGTCTGCGAAGGCAACAGGCAGCAAAGGCTGATCGCAGTCTCCAGAGAGCACCTGTGAATGTGAGAGACACTTCCTTTGCCTAATGCTGTGAGACAGGTGTGCCTTTAGAGTGCCTTTCCAACACTCCAGCACTGTCATTTTACCTAAAACCCATATGGCCTTCATTTGATGCCAAAATTCTGTTTAAAGGCCTAGAGCTACCTGCAGAAGCTGACATTCCGTTTCTGTTTCCAGTGTCCAGTCAGCTTTATTCTGAATCCAGAGATCCCCTCTAGCCTTCAGTGTGCATCTGCCAGCCTGCAGCAGTAAAATGCCCTCTGTGCTGGACTCTGTGGCTGCAGAGAACAAGACAGAGTTTTCAAAAGGCAGCCCAAGCTGGCTGAGCCAGGGCAGAGAATGCCTGAGCATCCCTTGGAGTGTATATTCCTGCTGGCAGGAGGWGTCTATCTGCACATCCACTGCTCTGCCATCGCACTGCAGGTTCATTAACAAGCCCACGTTGCAGATGTTCTGTCGAAATGAGCCCTCAAAGGCTCCAACACGAGGCAATCCCATCCTCTGCAACAGAAAACATTACACTGTTTAAAACACACAAGGTAAAGCAACTGCCTTCCTAATTTGCTCCTAATTCATGAGAAAGCATTTCTAGTTCCTGAAACAATCTGCTTTTGGAAAGGACCACACAAGACAGCTTATTTTGTAGAAAAATCAGAAACTTCTCTGTGAAACAACTGACAAAATATTGGGAGGGGATGRCACGGATGGGAGTAAACACTACAATAACCTTTCCACAACTAACACAGAAGAAGAAGATCCTAACCCACAAAAACATTCACAATTCCGTGCAGAAAGAGCATGCTTTTCATTAGATTTTTAGGACAAAAGTTCTTTTAATTAGAAGGTATTAATTAAGCAACTATTTTATGGCAAAAGCAGTACCATCTACCACTGTATTAATCCAAATTATCACCTTCAAACATACTTCCCCCTGCAAGTGCTCTGACTCATTGCTCTGCCAGAACAACTTTAATGACCAAAATTGGCCTCTCCATAAACGTGTCAGGAGGCACAGTGATCTGAAAGACACAGAGTACAAGGGCATGCAGAAAACTATCTGGGCTCACCTCTAGACTGACACACTTGTTCCTAAAAGCGAGTACCCATCCTGTCTCATTGCTTGCCAGGCTCAWTTCCCCATCAGCTTCCAAAGTGCAAGGCCCAAGGATGATAGCAAGGATGCCCTTGTACTTGTCACTTCTCATGGCTGACACCTTCAGTTGGTTCTCTCTGGCAATTCCCAAAGAATGAAGTGAAGGCACAGAATGCTGGAAGTCGATTTCTAAATGAGGCTGGGTGTGAGTGGTGGCATGGAGTTGCAGGCAGGCAAACATGTCATGAAATGAAACGTGTCCAAAGATGATGACAGTAAAGTTGCTGGTAAATGCTGACCCATTCAGTGAAACTCTTGCTGGAGTCTGAAAAATTACACAAAACTGTTGGCAAGTTTGCTTTCCTGTCAGGCCACATACTGGTTTTAAAAGCTCATATTACTAGAAGAGGGCTATTCCCCTATACAATTTTGTATTAGTCTTACATAATTACAAATACTGAAAGAAATGGAGAAAAAAAAACTTTGTTTAGAGTTCAATAATACAAACAACAGGATGAAAACTAAAAATTAAGGAAGTGAAAATATTTGAAAGTGCACACAAAACTTCCAGTTAGCTCCAATTAATTTTTACATTACACCTTGCAGTACTAAGACACCACGTTGTAGAGAGCGCAGTTTATAAATGAAGCCAGTACCTCAAAATGATGAAATGCAATTGCACCATTGCAAAGGCCAGAAATTTGTTTGTTAGCAGATTCTCCACTGCAAGCAACCTGTTGATGTTGACAACAAAGCACATTCAGAGCCTGAAGAAAAGCAGGGAGGACTAAAATTCAAAGGAGCAAGTTACACAGCTGTTTTAAGGATWAAATGGATGAAAGCACTTAACATGGCTTCAAGATTAAAGGTYAGAGTTCAGTTTCAAAAAGATAAACAGTTTAGTGTTTAGTGCAGTAAATACATTRCAATATATGGCAGGATTTCTGCAAACCTCTAGTAAATGTGGAACAATGTCCATCAATCCTCCCATRTCATGGTGAAGGGAAAGAGAAATTTCCAGAGCAGTACCAGTGGTTTYCTTCTCTATTTCCATTTTCAGCTGCTCCATCTCCACTGTGGCTGTTATCCCTGCAGCAATCTTTCTGGAGAAATTCTATACACAAAAGAAAATGCRCAAACAACAACATCCCAGCAACAACTGGGAGAGGCAGAGTCTGTCTYACTCTGTTTAACCATCATAGCCTGTGTCAGGCCAGCAACACTGGTAACATAAAAGTACAAATCAAAGCAGCCTCATTTCAAATAGAAATTGTAGTTTTATGCCAGACCTGACTGCAGCATACCAATAATTCCCTCTGGCTCCAAAACATATTGAGAGCATTCAGTGCCCTGAAGGGTTCAGAGCACTCARACTCAAACAATTAAAGCACGGAAACTGCTAAAAGGCAAGGCAAAGGAACTGCTTAGAAGTCTTTCTCTGCACACCTCTGTGTCTCACCCTGCTACAGTGATTGATMCTGGCATGTGAGTATCTGGAGCCTTGCACTGTATGGTAGAGCTAGAAAATTATTTGAACCCTTCTTTCATGGAAAGATAATCTGCCATGCAAAAGAGCTGTAAAACTCTTCACAGATCCAGAGCAGAAATGCAGGGAGAGAGAGCAGTGGCCAAGCAGTRCCATACCTGGATTCATGGTCCATAATGTTTCTGTGGGTAGGAATTTCCAAAGGGAAGGCCATGCTAAACACTCTCCTGCTCTTTAGCAGCCATCCAAAGGATGCCATCATGACAAGTTACATCCAGTACCAGGCACAATGCAGTCCTGAGGCTCACTGACACCTGGTGGCTGCACACCTYAGGCCTGCTGCTCCACTTCCCATTTATAGGGCAAAATTAAAATTAGACAAGACATCTGTTCATATGCAACAACRCATTCACTTAAATGAGAACTGAATGTAGCATCTCATTTAGTCTTGATTCAGCCCCAGGAGCTCAGATGACAGGTCCACAGTACGACAAGGAGCCAAACAACACCTTCCTTTCACCCAGCAATTTAATACATCTCAAAAACAGAGCAGCTTTTAAAATAAATAGACACAGTGCACAGAAAAAGCCTAGAGTTATTATATTTACACCAACTGTTCTGCCAGAAATCAAACTTWCACAGGCAGAACTCTTCCTACCTCATAATAGCCATCAGCTTCTACAACAAAAGGGATCCCRTGTTTCTTTATCTTTGAGATGTTGTGCTTTAGGCTCACAGACAGCTGGGATTTTGAAGGCTCTGTGTCCAGTCTGTGCCCTCCAAGCACAGCAGCAATCCTTTCACTGCCACTCTGCAGGGCTAGAGCAATGGTGTGATTTCCTGGGCCATGCTCACACAGGGCAGTAAAAATGCCATCCAACGGCAACCCTATTGACAAGGAAGGAAGTAAAATTAACACAGCGCTTCTGGATTGTCATTATAGAATACAGAGAAGATGTTTTACAGATCAAAAGAAGCCTTCAGTAGTTTTTCATTAAAAAAGACACACCTTTATGTAAAATGTGATCACTTTACTGATATTTACAGAAGAACATTACCATTACCTACCACAAGAAAATTGTATTGAAAAGGAACTGCTAAATTAAAATGTGGCATGCACTTTGGAAATCAAGGATTTTCCTGTTCTTAATAAAGGCTATCTATCAAGGGGTATTGTGTCCAGCTCCAGCAGTGAGCTGTTAAACAGCTTCAGAACGGATTTATTCTGTCTGAAGGGATTCACGCAAAATTACTGAAAACTCCAGTAGATGGAAAGCCACAGCTTGGATTAGGAAACACTTGGCATAAAATTATACTTTGAGGAACGGGTCAACTTAGATCCTGTGCAGGAACACAGATGTACAAGARAGAAATAATTTACTCTGAAGTATTCCAAAACTCTTTGAACTCTTTTGGTGTCCATTTTACTATATTTTTTCAACAATGTTTAAAAGAAGACTGCTAAGACTGAATCACTTTTTTTTCCCAGTGTGAGCAAACACAACTCATCTATTTCCACTGATCTGCAGTCATTCAGATAAATTCACCTCGTTACACCACACCATCAAGTCAGAGTTTTCTTCTTACCTGCATTTTTTAAAAAGTCGATATTATGTGTGAAAGTCCCACTGATTCTGCTGTGCCCATAAATTGTGATTTTGAGAAAATCTACAGCAAGAGCCTTCTCATCCACCTGGAAGATAGCTAGCCCCCTTCTCTTCTCTTGAGTCAGCTCCAGGTGCCCTTTCAGTCTTGCCTCCATGGGGATTGCCTGGCTGCCATTCTGAAACATGGCAACAGTGATATTGTGCACAGTGGAATTCCCAAACACATTCCTGTTCCTGACATGGAGTCCGTACAGACTTTTGTTGACCATCACATTGATGGTACCTGTAACAGGCAGAAATTATTGCTGTGGAGAGAGATTCTTGGGACAAAAATAACTAAGTTTTAGAAGAAATATATAAATTAACATTAAATTAATACCAGAAGGAAGCAGAAGAACTTACATTTATTGTAATAGATAATTTTGCCTAATTTAGAGAGAAAATCAGTTTAGTGTTGAGGGTTTCTCCACTAATGAGTGTCTGTGCTTAAAACAAATTATACAGTAGTATTTCTGGCAGCCTTCTTTCTATTCACCAAAAGCTGCTTGTGCCCCTAAGCCATGAGCTACACTGCACTTCCTCTGAAAGAAAATTTACAGAGGGACTGTTTAGCCTGCAATTACACAAGTAGTAGGTCACAATCCCCAMAGAGCTCTGCAGTGACCTGCTCCACCCAGAAGCCATTCAGAGCAGTGAGAGTCTCAAGTCAGCCCCCACATTTCAGAGAACCGGCACAGGAAAGAGGCCACCCACTATTTCCTTCAATCCGTGAAAACATGGAAATTTCTGAACTATGGGAGTTCACTAAAGAGTACTCTCAACCCAATGACCCATGGCTCATTTCACATGCTAAATACTCTCCTCTGCACTACCCAGAATCACAGAATGGTTTGGGCTGGAAGAGATTTTAAAGTGCATCCTGTTCCAACCCCAGAGGCAGGGGTCCTTCCAACAGACCAGGTTGTTCAAAGCCCTGTTCAACTCGGTCTTGAACACTTCCAGGGATGGTWAGCSTCAGTCACAGCTTCTCTGGGCAACCCATTCCATTGTCTGATCACCCTCATAATGAAGAATATCCTCCTAATATCCAATCTGATCCTGCCCTCTGTCAGTCTGAYGCCATTCCCCCTTGTTCTSTCACTCCAGACCCTTACCCAAAGTCCCTCTCCAGCTCTCCTGGARCCCCTTTAGGCACTGGAAGGGGCACTGAGCTCTCCCTGGAGCCTTCTCTTCTCCCAGCTAACCCCCCCAGCTCTCCCAGCCTGGCTCCAGGGCAGAGGGGCTCCAGCCCTCGAACRTCTTTGTGCTCTCCTCTGGAATCGCTCCAACAGGAACACTTTGTTCTTCTGTTGGGAGCCCCAGAGCTGAATAGGTTGTGCAATTGAGRATTACATTAGAATTAAAAAGCTTCCTTGGATAGCTGCAGACTAGAACAAAACACAAAGGAAGAGAGTACCATCATGAATGCTGTTTTTGCACTTCAGCAATCCRTCCAGAGAAAGAAGATGAGGTACRGCCTTTAATCCAGCAAAAGTGTGTTGGACTCTTCCATTTAGGGACAAAACAAAACCAACTTTCTGCTCCCTGGCTCCCATGAAATCCATGTRAAGCCTATTTTCATTAAGCTTCAACTCAGAAGATAACAAAAGCCTAAAAAGACAGACATAAAAATTGCTAGTAAGGTATGATTATGCTTGATTCAGGATTGTCAAGACACCCCTCCTCTCTCAAAGCAGGATCCATGAGAGGAGGGTGCTCAGGATTGTGTGTGGTCAGGTTTGGAGCATCTCCAGGTATGGAGGCTCCACAGACTTTCTGGGCACTCGTTCCAGTGTTGTGAATCAGGGAATCAGATGCCTTGMAGTCAGCACATGCTGTTCACCAGATGTTTATAAAGATCCTCAGTAAAGCTTCACAGATTGGCAGACTAATTTTTATTTAAATTTCTTGAATGCTTTGTTATGGTTCCTAATAAAAGAGAGAGCTGGACAGAGTTCAAGCTGGAAATGAAGCCCTCTCTGTCACACTATGAAATATCTCTTTGGCACGGATTCAAAAGCAGCACTGAGAATTCAGCTTAAACAACAATTCTAAGTGCCATATCATTTGAGTCTAGTAAATGAACCAACAATATTTCATTGTATCTTGGCTCTGAATCGAACAGGCTGGGAGAAACATGGCACAGCTTTTTAGTGAAACCTGCTGGAGCAACAAGAAATTCCATTTTCAGTGTTTCAGCACTAAGACTAAGACAATTTTCACATTGCCTTCAACAAACCATCCACTCAAATATCTGACTTTGGAGACTCAAGTATWCTACACAAAATACCTAAAAGTGAGGCAATTTCAGTTTTCATARTGTTAGGTATCCCTCCTAGAAATTGAAACCCTCTTGAAAGACTGATGATGAGTAAAACCTCAGGGAAAATCCACTCCATGGGAAGAACAAAACTATATAGTTCAGAGAAGTAAGATTCATTCCATCAGTCAGCAWCTGAAGTCTGTAGAGACTGCATCCTTTCAGCTGCTCCCCAGAAACATTCAACAGTTTATTTTTCTCTGTATTCTCCCTGTAAAACAAATCCTAAACAAATTGTCATTCCAAAAATTTTAAGTGTTCTATTTTCCTTCCTGTGAAGTGAACTGCAATAAATTGCTCTCTTACAGCTCACCCTGGTATTTAAACAAATTAATGCACTATTGGAAGCGCAGGACTGCARGCAAGCTGCAGAACCACATGAAATACTGTTCTTGGAATATTTTATCTAATTTTTAGTGTTACTAGTAAATATAATGTGCTTCATCTACATTGTAGTTATTTCTGATTCCTTTAAACTCTTATTTCCTCATTCTCCTTACCCCATCCAATTGGTAAACACCCATCCTCTACAGAAACACTAAATTCTGCATTACATACTTACATATTTRTGAAAWTTRGRAAATCAGCTGAAACTAGGGAGGGCMWAATTTCTATTTCCCACCTMTGCCACCTCAGAGCTTTCTACAATACTTTAAAAACCTTATAATAAACACTGGRAAATGCCCTTTTCAATTGGGATAGTTTGTACTATCTGTTCATTCCAAGTTCTCTATACAAAGTCCWAGGAAAGCAACCAGAACATATTAACACAACTTATACCAACTTATGAAAAACAGAAAGAGCAGAAGTATTTCAATAATAGGGGTAACACATGAACTGGCATTAACTCAGTGGCTTCTGCTGCAGCCATATGGAAGTAGTTAACGTTTAGATTTGTATCACAGAACACTCTTCAGTTCCTCAGTTAACCAAGATTCTGATTTCTCTACCTTGATGGAAATACTTTGCCCACGAGCTGGARCTGTACTGATTCTGGGTTTGTCAGGACTGTCTGATGGAGAAAAGCCCTCAGTTGAACAATTCTGGCATTCCTCCTGTTTTCATTKTTCACATCAAACTCCAGCATGAGCWCATCCCTTCCACTGGAATGAAGGTGGAGAGAGCCATTGACATTGTTGTCACCATAACTCTTCAGGGCTGCCTGGGCCTGCACATAGAGAAAAAGAAGAGCAGGACATAAAGGATTTCAAATTATTATAGAAAATACTGAAATATCAGTTTGAGCGACGAGACTGCAGATAACAAATGGGAAGTGGGCAAAAATGAGGAGGGGAGTGGAGGATGAAGRAGTTTTCAGTTCTCATCTTTGTTTCTCAACATCTAATTATATTTGGCAATAAATTAAATAGATTAACACTGCCCAAGTTGAGTCCTTTTTGTCTGTGAAGGTAATGGATAAGTGATCTTGTCTTTATYCCAGCCCTGTCACCATGCTRGAGCTTTGAACAGCAAAACATRAGCTACATTAAATTTTAAGTACAATTTAACTCAACTTTAAATTTTCTGAATCTGAGCCGAAACACAAGCCAACTATTCCAACCACATGTATCTATCTAGCCAGAACAAACTCTAACTATCAAAAGTTAACTGTTTCCCTATCATTTTATAACTCTCCACTGTAGTCACTGAGTGCATGAATTGCAAAATCTTCAGGTTCAAGCAACAAGACTGTAATAACCAGGGGACTGACCTGTGAGGACACGTTCTTGTTGATGATGGTTTTTACACTCACACCACAGTCGAGGTGTYCCAGTTTGGTCTGCCTGGAAAACAGCTCCCCACTTAGGCCCATTGCTTGTGGAAACTCAAGCTATTTGACAAAGTAAAGTATCAGAACAGAACATTGCATTCCCACCAATTGCCTCGTGTGATTTAATGTCTGAAATTCTGGCATGAAGTGGAGGATGCATATAAGCAAATGCACATATAAAATTTTACCGATTTTACCCAATATACTGAAAAATAGTAAAAAAGGTCAGTGTGGTTTTTACAAGGTATTATTGATACAAATTATTGACAGATAATTGGATCTGCTGAGATATCTACAGTTATTGGTCAGGGCCAGGACTCGATTGGATTAGGACATTTACCAGCATCAAACAATTATAATTCTAAAGACAACACAGTTAAACARTTACCAAGACATAAAAAATAAAGTGCCAGAAATGAAAGCCACTGATACCTGGAATGAATGTGTCACATCCATGTGTAAAAGATGTCTAAAATCTGCCTCACTGGATTTGTTCTGATACCTCCCTAGGAAACTAAGAATATCTTCCTTATTCACCTTCAAGACAGTCTCAAGCTCATGCTTCACCTGTGTGTTAAGAATGGGAGTAAGCAAACTGCATTGAGTATTAACCCTGTGTGTTATGAAAGATCAGAGAAGTCATCCCTACACATCATGAAAAGCMAAAGAGTTGCAAGCTATTAAGTTTTGGCTCAGAATGAAAAACAAGAAAATCAGGAAAAAAAATAACTAAGTTTGGTAAAGCAGATTTATAGATACAGCTGGATAAGGGTGAGAACCCTGAACCATTCTACCCCAGTACGTATTATTATTATTCATAACATTCATGAATTATAATATTCTAAGAATGATATATTAAATAATTRCTACACAATATATTATTAAGGAGGTAGCAAGGAATCATCACCCTCTGAAYGTTTTGATTGCAGCAGCTACATGGTGAGGAACTAAAGACCTATAGCAAGTTAGGTTTGAAAAGACAATAAAGTGTAAATAAACAGGCAATGAACATCTCCTAATTTTAATGGGAAATATACTCACATTTTGATGACTTAGAGTTAAAATGCACATTTCAACATCTTTGGGCAACATCCTGTAGTTATAAGGATGAGTTAAGCCAGCACAAATCTAAAAAGAAGTTTGAGAGGAAATGCAAGAAACATGAGATATATACAGTAAATCACTCATTTGTTGGCTTTTTGGTGTGTCAGATTAAAGGAAGTTCTTGGATAACTCACATAGGGGTTTTCAGGCTGATAACCAAGTATAAGAGTCTGAACTGTTTCCTCCACCCTATTTATCAAAACTTTTGTTTCCATGAAATAGTGCTTTTGCTTTTTGTCGACAGTGAATGTCTCCTGCAGAAGGAAGCTCTGTAGATATAACACTTTAAAAGGATGCCTGGAAAAAAAAACCAAGAAAGTGTGAAAGATCTTAGTAGGCAACTACAGAAACGAATCATGCAGAGTTCAGTTTGAACTTCAAAATTACCACCAGGGTTTCAGGTGCAGAAGCAAAACACATAGGACCAGGAYGGCTAAGAAACTACAGAGCATAATTACAACTTCATACAACCTCCACACACTTACCAGAATTTCTGATACAGTTTCCATCCTGGATTTGGTAAAGGCTTGAAAAGGCATGGGAGAGAATGCTGCTCTAAAATTCTGGCACACATAACACCAGCACATCCACCTTCTATACCTGCATGGCCAAGACTTCATTTCAAGCAGGGGCCCTGTCCAAAAGCTCATGGCATGTTTGAAAATCTCACCTATCCACATTTTGCACTTTCTGCAGAAGCAGTATTCACATGCCAAGAATCCTGCGCAACAGATGTTCAGCACYACACAGCTCTTGGAGTAGTTTACTATTTCAGTGTAGGCAATGTAATGTATTATGGGCTTTATTAAATATTYCTGCACATTTAATTAGTCAGACCTCTTGGAAACAGGCACGAACTTTTATAAGCAGACACAGGACTGCCTTTATACAAGTTAGAATATCTGGTACAGCTCTTCATTTACATCTTTTTTACTGAAAAGACACCTCCCAGTGGATTAGTTATGTCTGAGCTGCACAGTGGCTCCTAAGGCAGCCTACCTGTGCACTCCTGTTGATCTTGCTATGCCTTAAGAAAGCTGAGAGTTCCCCAGAAGTGACCCAGATGTCTCTAGTCTAAGCACAGATTTTTACCAAGGCCTKCAAACTGTGTTTTAGTAATGGATAATGCAGAGAGAAATTTCAGAGACAGCCAATATGTAGAAGCAGCACACTCATTCTCATCAGAAAACGGAAACATATTCCAAAATCTGAATCAGACCATTTGCTACATGTTTTAAGAGGATACCTTTGGCTCTAGAATGGCTGTATAGTGCCTAAGGAGTAGGGAAAAAGCACATGAATGGCACAGAGGGTCTGATTTTGGAACTTCTCACCACTTCCAAGATTGGACACACCATAACTCCTGCTGTTTCCATGAAAGGAAGCTCTATGCCTGACTGAGTTGCCAACAAACATGTCACAGCACACATGGCCTGTTGCCTTTGACACCTTGTTTGGTGTCATCTCAATAAAGAAGCCAAAAGCCAATGGATGCAAATAACCAGCCCATGAAGCTGCTGTGCTTGAGGAAGTTCAGAGCYACATGGAATGAAGCAAACTGTGCATGTGGCACCCTCACTTGCTAAAGCCCAGAACATCTCCTAAGAGCATCAAGATGCACACTTAAGTTTAGGCCAAAACATTCTTAAAAGATAGAAATAGGAATACTAAACCTGAAATGGAGGGTTGCACGTTTTTGATAGAGCATCTTCTCCTTCCTCAGCTCTTCTATCTGACCCTCACACTGCAGTATGACAGGCAGACTTTTAAAATCTCTCCATACAATCTTCGCAGAAAAGTTTGCCTTCTTAGGCTGTGCTCAAATTATGAGAGGAAGAGGAAAGAACAATTATATCAGATTTACTGTGTTCAGATTGGGGAACACCAATATGGAAACCATATTGCTCCACAGGCTGCAGCAAGGCTGCCGTTTCACAGATCAAACCATTTCTGCTGCAGTTTAAATCCAGATCTGCATTAATCTCCCACAGAATTAAAAGTCACTTCAGCAGAAAACTGACTCCAGCAGAAGAAAAATGCCCCCTAATGTGTCACTTGAGTGTCACCTATTTGCAACACAAGCAAGCTCTGGTACATAGAAAACCTTACTGGATTTTCACAGCATGGAATGCTACATCTAGAATAGCACTTTTTGTTTTAAGACTTCCTGCAAGGCATGAATGGACCAAAGTAAMTGATCAAAGTACCTCTTTCAGAGAGAAACTGCTGATTACCCTTCCTGTGCTGCAGACATCAAGCAAAGCAAGGATTATTTTAAGACTGGAAGGGATATAGAGATTAAAATAGCATATAAACCCAGGCTGTTACTACATGCTCACTAGCAGGTAAGAGATTCTGATTCTCCAAGACAGGAAAATCTTCCACACTTGTCATACATCTGCATCAAATCACATCTCCAGCTCTCTTCCTAGTCATGCAGTCTCTCTTCACCCTCTCCACCCTGACTGTAGTTGGCCTCCCAAATAGGTGAGAAGTACTCCAAATTATGCCACACAAGTTTTTGTTTCCTTTTTGAACCTAGTTTTACACTGCAGCCTGTCAAAACAGATGGAAATGGATGCAACACTGGAAGAGTTTAAATTTCAACACTAGCAGTAACATCTTTCAGGAAGAGAGTGTCAAATCCAAAAAAATTGCTTTTGTTTTTCTTTCTCACCGTTGGCAGATTCTGATAGCTGGCAGTAAAATTAAATTCCTGTTTTGTGCTCTTTATCTTAAAGCAGAGAAGTTTGGCTCGTTCATTATTCTCCAAATGAATCTCATTCTTCACCAGCTGATTCCACAGAGATATAATTTCACTATAGCTATGCAGAACATTCCTCCCAAGGCGATTCAATGTGGATGCCTGAAAAACAAAGACATCAGTCTGGCTGAGCCAGGACAGACAGCATTCCATCGTGCAGCACAACAGCACAGAGGTGACACCAAGATCATTAACAAGAACTATTAGAAATGTGTGTCAGCTTTTCCATTATCAAAATACTCTGAATTGCCACACAGATATCAAAGTTTATTTTATCTATTTATTTTAAGTTTATTTAAGCTTATTTTATATCCTCTAGACAAGAGAGAGAMAAAAAGCTAAATAGGTGCAAAGAAAATCTTGTTAATCAATTCTTTTTCTCATTCAGTAGTGTTTTTCATATTCCTCCGTGCTGTGCCTGAAGCAGCAGTGATCTAAGGAGGAAAAGSTGATAAATGAACATTAATCATAAACATAAGTCAAAGCTCTAGACAACTGCATAGTGACAGAGGCTTACATATTGCTTAATGCACAGCAAATATGATGAAATCAGTTTTAAATCTCTACTGCATAACACAGTCTAAAATAAATGAGGAAGCTTAGAAACCATAGACTCAGGGCATAGTGATGGCACAGAAACCTGTTCCAAAGCCATACACTCTGAAGCACCATGACACCAACCTGCAGGTAAGTGACAGACGGTGTGTAAATGTGAACTTTTCCTTCCTTTTCATTGCCTGTATCTTTATAGAATAGTTCCAGTGCAAGATCTTTAATGGAGAGAGCTTTTCCAGCTGACAGCTCTGATGTCAATAAATAAGCAGAATGCTGGGGCTGATGCAGTTTGTGAGCTGCACGGAGATAGAGCCATGGGGTGTCTATGTTTAACCCACCTGCAAATGACACACATTAAAAAAACAGAGAAACATGAGATTTCAAGCTACCTGGATTCTAACTCCACAACAAAGCTCTTAAGTTGCTTGGTGTTTAGAATGAGGCTAAAATGCTACTGTCAACCTTTTATCTTCCAATTGCTAAAATCTCGGGATGGTATATAATGAAACTAACATCCTTCACTCGTGTAAATGGAACTGTTGGAAGATGCCAGCCAGCTAGGCTGTGATAGGTTGGAGGTTTCAAAAACTCAGCTAGACAAAGCCACAACAGATGTGATCTCCTGCTAGAAACAGTCCTGATTGGAGCAGGAAGCTGGGCTGGACAACCTCCAAGGTCTCTCTCTTCCAACAAACATCTTTATCATTCTGTTGCACCCACGCAAAACTACTCAGAAAAACCTGGCAGCAGCCTCGAATGCCTGCTTTTCTAATCACAAATTGGAAATGGTTTGTGATACTTCACCTTCCCACTTCTTCAGGCCATTTCTGGATGCATCCTTCCACTGCAGCCCAGCCACAAAYGGTACACGGTCATTATACTGCACCTCAAAGTTAGTGCTGCTCTGCAAATACACCTGAGAGGTGTGCAAGTGCTGCAGCTGGGTTCTAAAATTCACCTGCTTTTCCAGGACTTGCATGGTAAACTGGAAAACAAGTTAAGTAAATTTTAATAAAAACAAGATCCCATTTTCAGGGCTAAGTTAACACACAGACASAGTAGCAGAAGGTCACAACTTCTGCCTTTGGATATTTACCATTCGCTTTATCATGCATGCTCACCATTTACAGACTGAAGCTTATTTAACATGCATTCATTACAATTATAGGAGATTTAAAAAGAAAAAGCTGCAATATTCTGAGTTGTTATAACCTGCACCCTTATTCCACATTGTGTCAGCAAAGCAGCTTTTGYAAATCTCTACAATCATGTTATATAAGTTAACACTGCAAAAACCTCAGACCAAATTACAGCCAAACTTTTCCAGTAATTGCAAAATTTATCTTCTAGCAAATGTCAAAGGTTTCAGTGTCTCTGAGCTAAGGCCTTATTCAAYATTATTAGGTCTGCATACTTGACTTACATTATTAGTACATGCCATATATACAAAAAAAAGTCACAATATAACAGATAATTCAAAACTTCTTCTTAGTTTGTCTAATGACTTACTTTTAAACCATCATTATTACCTCCATGAAATAGCTGACTACAGATGAACTGGAACTGTTCTTAAAGGCTTGGCTGATCAGCAGTTTCTTCTTGTTGTTTATTTCATCCCAGTGTTTCCCGTAGTTCACTTCCATCTGGGAGGAAATCCAAGATGCACTTGCTTCATGTTTGAGGTGAATCTGAAGAACAGAGGAATGCCTTTGTGTCRTGAGCTCTGCTTTCTGTCCGTGCTGCCAGCACCGAGCCCAAGTGGCACAGGGCACTCAGCACACACGAGGCAGGGCCARTACCCACCTTGTGGCTGTAGCTGGGAGCCTGCACACAGTGGAATTCGTGYCCCAGCTCCAGTCTGTACAAGCCCTGTGCACCTGTCTCCACTTGAACCTTCTGCTGCGTGCTGCACTCGTGACAAGGGGTTTTTGACTCTCCTGTTCAAGTTAAACCACAAATAAATCAGAAGTAATCTTTCTTTTATTTATTCAAATAAATCAGAAGTAATCTTTCAAAATGTTAATAGCATAAATCATGCACTGGCTTCAAGACTTTTGTTTTGCAAAACATCTCTGTACCTAGGAGTCCGTATTTGATCCTCAGACCATGAGACCACAAGCCCTCCTGGTGCTGGAGAAGTGCAACAGCGTGAACTCCTAGAACACCTGGAAAGTGAGTCTCTCCTTCCAACGAGTATTGACTCAGCTTATCTTCAACCTTTTTCTCCAGAAATGCTATGGAAAGAGTAGAAGTGATTATGCAGTGGTAAAACTAGAAGATACTTCAGCAAGTCAAAGGAACAGTAGAGTGGGGAAAACCAAAAAGGCATTCAGTCTTTTCTACCATGATGAACTCYGTGTGTAGGGAACAGATAAAATTATTTCCTGCTTCTCAAAGGAAATAAATTCAAAGAGACAGATCTTTTCATTAACTAAGCCCTAACATGTGAACATGTGGATGTTTACCTCTACATAAAGTCAGAGCAAGGCTGTCACAGGGGCTGGGAGTMTGAAATCAGACCAGAACTGGCTTTGATGCAGTCACCAGCAATCCATGTGAAAGCTAAGGATGAAAACTTCACCAAAAGATGATCTCCCAAAAACCAAACCTGCCTTCTTCATTCCTAAAAAGTTAGTTTTATTTGAAAGTACTGTGTAAYCCTATGACATTTCAGTAAAAAATGAGAGCTTTAGACATAAATTAYTGGTTTATTCCATTGTATTAATTTAACTTTTAATGTATTGATCTTATACAAGTATTAAGGCTCTATTTCTGATACTATCTCTTACATTTTCCTCTTAKATTATTTGTGAGAAAAAGAAGTCTYTAAGATTTTTAGAACAAYACGCCTTAAGAGACATTTAGCTACAAATATGAGTCTCTGTATTGTTTTGTACTAACAAAAGTRAAAAACAGAAAGTATCCTAACAGCTGTTACTGATTTGGCATGTTTTTGTTAAGTGATTCCTTATATCTTATTTCCTCTTCAACAGTAATTCAAAACAGACTTACTTTTAAAAAATTTCTTTTATTCTGAAATATATATTCATATTAATTTATCAAGGACAATAATTCTAAAAAGCAATCTTCATGGACTTGAAAGGTATTKTAGGAGCAGGTGTCCAAAACCAGGCAAACAAACAAATGAGGGCTCCAGAAACTTGCATTTATAGTGCAAATACTTACTGTCCTCTAACCTGAAAGAAATGCAGCATCCTTCAACAAATTATTCAGAGATACTGAAAAAGCTATCTTCTTGCCATGCAGTTTAGTGATGTTTCCTGACAGAATGATAGGACTACTTWGCTTTATCAGCTTTACCTCCAGCTGGGTCACGTATCTCTGCTCTCCACCGAGCATCTGAAAATCTGTCATTCCCTAGAATAAATAAACAAATTTAAAAAAACCCAAGCCACTCAACAACACAAATTGATGAAGTTTTGAGAAAGTAATAGTATAGATGTGGGCATTTTGGAAATTAGATGAGAGGAGGAAGAAAAAATATGTTTTTCTATACATCTAACAACAAACCTTTCACATCCCACAAACTCTAAAACTTACCATTGATATACATGGGGAGGAAAGATGGATTTGTTTTTCCAGTTACACACAAGTCACAGTGGTGCAAGATGCCACTTCCTTCAGCTTCTGCTGGTTTTAGGATTGAAATCACTAAGAATGTTGTAATACCAGGCCAAAAACCAATATGGTGTTACTGAATATCCTGGCAGTYTCACAGAGATTTAGGTTGAAATAGATGTAAAAACATGTCATAAGGAGAACTGGTATTTCTCTGATAGATGGCTCACTAAACTGTTTCTCAATATGTGTGTTCTGATTGCCTCTCTCTTCTGTGCTGTTATGGAAGTATTCATCCCAGTATGAGAGCTCATGGAATGAAAACGTACCTTAATGTAATACACATCTCGGTCATCCACTATCAGCTCCAGGTGTCCAACTCGTGAGCTTTTAGAAAACTCCATCCTCCCTTGGAGAAAAAGAAAACATTTTCTGGACACATACTGATAGCTTAATTGTATTGAAGTTCTCCTAGATTATATTAGCTGATGATCAGGATCTTAGTTGAAAAACTTACCATCAATCTCAATTTTTTTCTTAGGTTGTATAAATTGGAGTCTGAATTTCTTCTGTGGGACACTAAAACTTAGGTCGATACCAACATCTCTTCTCAACTCTGACTTTGGAGTCCCAAAGAAGAAGTGAAAGACAGCTTCACTGGGGATCCATGAATTCTCCTGAAAAAAAGGAAGGAAGGATAACCACATTGCTTTGTAAATGGTGTGCCATTGATTAATCTCTCACACTGAAATACCAGATTGTTTGTGTGTGCTGTTTTGTAGACAAAAATAGTATGTATGTACTATCAGAATCAGCAATTTGTTTCCAGCATATCTTCCCAYGCTCARTCTTGMGAATGRAATTAGTAACACTGAATACSTTGGAATCCAGAGAGTTGAATATGCAGCACTGAGATACACCACTCTGTCACCAGAATAACAAACTGAAACTAAAACCAAAGTACAGCACCTGAGCAATGTAATTATAGGCAGCTTCCACCAGGTACTGCTGCAGGCCTCTGTCKTGCTTTATTAATGTCACAGCCACTCTCAAAGGTCCACTAAGGGGGAAAACCAAACCACTGGCTGGGTCAGGATAGGACATTTCAGAGCACAGCTGCCAGCCAATAACCTCAGACACTGGTGGAAGACAAGAGTTGAACTTTCAGTTAGAACAGCAAAGAAACAAAGCATGAAAATGAACATTGCACTATAGACCATATTACAAAATAATATGTAAAAAAAGAAAAAAAAAACCAAACCTCACTGAATAAAATTATCTATTATGGATATTTCAGAATGCTTTTCTGAAGCAAGCAACAGCTTGACCCACCTTCCTTCCTAGTGCAAGATCTGGTTTCTGTGTGGTCTTGGAAGKCATCTATATCTTCTGTCTCATCCACCATTCTGAAGTAAAGTTTAGAGCTACAAACAAGAATTTTGAACAAYAACTTAACAACAATTATGCTGAAGTTACAGCAATATTTAAACAAAACCCTCGGTTATATGTCACCCTCTCCCAGATGTGAGAAATAAGAAATATTAAGTTCTGCAATGGTCAGTCTACATTTCTATTAATTAGCAGTGACTTTTATCCAGTTTTCATGTTTAATCTGTCCCTATCTTAACAGTTCTTCGTGGTCAGTACTGGATTTCTCTGTTCTGAGCAATGTGTTATGGCCAGCTTATTGCAASTCCACTGACTTCCTGGCTTCYAGAMATTATTTTTCCCYCTTAGGCTATTTATRGACATCAGTTTTGTTCCAGTCTTGMAACTTGAAACTCATTAAACYWCTGAMACACRGCTCATGGTCTCTGCACTTGATGGGAGCAAGAGAGTTAATGCAACATCAAACTCTTWGGTCAGACATTTGTTCAAATAGTGCACAACACAGATTTGTGATTATTTTGACTTTCATTATGGTCTGTCACCCATCCTAGCTGACAGAACCAGAATTACATCAGTAACTCTCCCAGAGTCATAAAGGAATGAATGGTTTAAAACTCAAGCCCAGAGATTTTCAACCCTTTTCTGGACTCAAAACCTATTGCACCATGATGTTCCAAATCAAGAGAAACATGAAGGAGCAGCAATCCACATACTGTAAATAGTTCATCTGTTGTCCTGCCCAAGACATGCTGATAAGACAATTACAGTATGTGTCTTCTACTTGGACTTCTATCAGAACTAAAAGTCCAAAGGGAAGAGAAAGCCAGCAGAATAAAGTGAACTAAAAGGCCTAGATTGTATACGCAAATTAATTGCTTGTGTTAGTACAATCTCAACAACTGTCAGATGTTATTACAATGCAACCTTTACCAAACACTAAAGAACCTAACTAAAAACCWAGCAGAAAGGTTTGGCCATACTTTATTATTACTAAATTCCAAATTATTCCAGTGTTTTACTAAATATCATCTGTAGAAGCACAATGCTAAGTTTTTCCTCCACCATTTTAATATCCCAATCTAGAAGATTCTTGTTCCAGAAACAGCACGGACATTCAGTAGAAAACAACAGGGGAATATGAAAAATYCATTTCCATCTATTGTCATAAGGCTTCAATATGAATGTATGCTTTAATGGCAAAATCATATAAAATGCAAAGAATAATTTCCCCTTCCTTTTCTTCTGAATGGCAGRTTTGGACTATGAGTCAGACTGAAACAGCTTGTTTCCTGACAAAATCTATTTCTGCTCTATTAATCAGCCTGTCAGTTAAGTTCTGATTCAAGAAAGTTAACAGTTTCTGTTTAAGAAGATGCCCTTGCTTAATCTTACCTGAAATTAATTATCTCCATAGTGTCTTCTGGAGTATTCAAGAAAAGTTTCAGCTCTTTTCCTTTCTTCACCTGGATTCCCCCATCAAGACTAGTAGATGTCCTCATTCCTGTTAACCAGCTCAGGCCAGCTTGTCCCAAAGTCCCCACAGTTCCCATTTGGACAGAAAGCTGGACAAATGCACTGATGAAAGATTCATGTACACATCCTTCTGTGAATTGCASTTTCTTTTTAAAGCATTTAAACATTTTCAGTAAATGCATAGCATAGATGCTGTCACACAGAGTATTCTATGATTAAAATCATGAACTACTTTGTTTCAGGAAATAACTGAAAAGATTGTATGTACACAGACATACACGTGCTAACATAAATTAAAGTATAGTTTTACTATATCTCCCAACAAGGGATTTGAACCCAGACTTCAGCATGAAATATTAAGAAAAGAAAAGAAGTTATAATTTACTATCACAGAAGAAGTTTCTCTCTGTCTGTACAGCACTTAGTGAAATTTTGTAATGCATTCAGTATGAGCAGAAGCTAAAATATCCAGGTAAGGAAACACAGGGTTAAATCATCCGCTGGTTTGTACATCCATAACCTGTAACAGCATGTCTGATCCTGAGAAAAATCCACTTGTAACAGGTAAAGTATTCAAAAGATCATCTGTATGAAAGCATTCAGGAGTTTGATTTAGAGATAGAGAGGAATAGTCAGCTTAAACTAATACTGGAATAATACAGCAAGGGAGTTCAAAAATCAGACAGGCAGGACAGGAAACCTTACACCATGGCAACCATTCAATAACAGAAGGCTGATAACTGCTTTGGTTCTTCAGGAATTTTCTAATTAATTAACAGGCATTCAGACAAAACTTTCATATCAGGAATTGCTGCTTGACATCAGGAATATGYGAAAGTGACTCATTGGCAGCAGTTATTACCTTGGCTTGATATACCCATTTAGAAAGAAATTGGACTGTTGATTGAAATCCGCATTCCCTTTGATTTTTATGTTGATTGCTGCTGAGGCATTGACTGCCAACTGAACAGGAAAGCCTGAAATTGCTGGAAACTGCAATTCTTCGGTGGCCAAACTCATCCTTTTATTAAACTGGACTTCCTGCCCCTGTGGTAAAAAAAAAAAAAAAAACCAAAGAAAACCCAGAATTTTATTTTGCATAATGAAGTCAGCATTCAAGAATTTTTCCAGATATAATTTATGACTGCATCTGTCTGCTGTGAAAGTGCTTTTACATGAGCTGATTTGGGACATGAAGAAGAAAGCAGCCCAAAGCCTGCATCTGGCCATGGCATGAGTCAGACATCAGCCCTGCCCCAGGACATTTAAAAATCAATGGATTTGAATGAGAGAAACAAGAGATAAGAACCATTAAAGAGCAGAACAAGCCCTTGTCTAATGTACTGAATGCTGTACAAACCAAATATACACTTGAGTCTTTTGGAGTTCAATTTAGAGAAACAAAAAGTAATATTCTGTATCTCTTACATATCTGTCAGAAAGCAGTTTCTCGAGATATTTACTTTYAAATAGAAAAAAGGTTCCTTTTACCTTCAAAAGTCTGACAGCCAACTCAGCCACATTTAAGGAATAATGTTTCATTTGTTTTCTTAAATCTTCACAGTCTAGGAAGCTAAATTCATTYCCAAAGATTTTCATGCTTAGCTCACATTTCAGTGCCTCCTTTCTTCCTCTTTTCCCAGAGAACTGAYATGATAAAGAAAGAAATCAAAGGGAATGGTGTAATAATTTCCTTTCAAACTCACAATAACCAATTCCTCGATGCAGGCTGTGCTATTAGTATAGAGACATAGGCTCCCTTTTACAAATATTCTGGAGACCACATTAGACTCTGGATAAGCAGCTGTTCTYTCCAGCTGCATTTCAGCTCCATACCACACACGCTGGCTGTCACTATGAGCACTTAAGGAGAAGTATGGCAATACATACCCACAAATASGTGAAGATTTGAAAAACACAATCTCAAAAATATTAGGGATGCCTTGATTGCTAAATAAACTGCCAGGCAATACAAATTTTACATTTCACTTCTTATGATTCTATGATATCACATCGGAACACATGATCGTGAGCTTATTCTAACAAAAACACTCTAAGAAGGTGAGTTCCAAGAAGAGATGATCTAAGAAAAACTAAATGTGTCCTAGTCCCCGAGATTTCCAGCTAATACACCAACAATTGAAATAAATTCTCAGCACTTTCCTGTTATGTACATAAAACATAGCTCTCTCTGAAAAYGGATAAATTCCCAAAAGGTCAGTGTAACATYYGAYATCAAACTGGGAAGTCAGATTGCAAACAAGAGGACTCAGGAACTCAACATCAAGCAGCTGTTTACAGTGGCACAGCAGTCAATAACAAAAGGACATCAGCATAAAGAGGCTCAGAGCTCAAAATAATGAGAGGAAGCCCAAAACACAGGCAACATACTCCCATAGCTGAGTGTCATTGTTTTGAGACAATAAAACAATCTGAAAAAAATGAAAAATCTGGCTCCTTGCTGCTTTGCATTTTGTGTAGCTATTAAATTCTCTACAAGTGAGCAAAATAAATTACATGTGCTTTAAGCAAAGGAGTCACAGTAAYCCAGAGCAATTGCCCAGTGYGAGAYGRGGCCCTGTGTTTGAGTGGGAAATGYCATTAATTTTTCCAGGACTGCAGATTCACTTACCTTTTTGACTAACTCATTCATCTTACTATACTTTCTACCAAGACAATTTTGATTTGTTTTTCTCAACTTTGGCTTGCCAAACTTGGTCACAAGATGGTCAGAGGGGCTATATCGCTTCAAAGTCAGGTTCCTCTGCTTGACTTTCCCTGGTTCCACTGGGGTTTCTGACTCGTGGTTTCCTTCATTAGTGTTTCCAAAAAAATAGTCACTGAAAGTAGAGGATTTTGGACCAAAACCCTTCTCCATGAGAGTTTCAGCATTCTCCAATCGTACACCAACCTAGTGAAAAGCATACAGCAGTGAAAAGCCTAACAGTGACACGTACAGAGTATGGCCAGTTCTAAAGCAGGAAATCAAATTTACAACTAGATGTAACCAACACAAAATATTTGCCACACCAGATCATAGCAGTCTACAAAGTTTAGCACTCTACCTCATACAGCATTCAATACTGGATATTTCAATATTAAATCCTCCTTTAGGATTATGTAAAGCTCAGTCCAAAATAAAAATCCTTTTTTGTTCAGGTGCTGCGGTTCATTTACACCATGATGGGCTACTGCTATTTTGGCATGTTAAAAGTAGTATTTTGGAAAACATTAACACATTCTTTTCATGCTCCTGAAATAGGATTCTGTTTGGAAGTTTGCTTAAAACACWATTACTAACACACATGAATCCAGGGAATGTGACACTGAAAAATATATTTTGTTTTCTTGTGAGCTTAGACKTGAGATCTGAGGGCAACATTAAATTCTTTCTTTCTTTCATGTGCACATTGTTACCTGGCACAGCAGAGGCACTGCTAAAAGTGATGAGGTCACAGGCAGGTCATTGAAATATCCCAGGCACTGGATGACTTCCGCTAAGTATAAATGAGTCTATCTCCTGTATTAAAGGAATGGTGTGCCCAAGCCAATCMATTTTCCACTGTAAATCAAGAAAAGGAATCATACTATCCTAAACAGGAGGTAGAGCAGTATCTCAGGAAGCATTGACTTTAATGTTTCATTGGAATCAGCAAGAACTGYGTATAACTCACTTGCCTAGTGCATGGCACTTGCAGAATGACAGTGCTTTTATTTTGACTAAGCCCATTRTGCAGAGGACTCACCAGTCTGAGGCAACTGTACTAAAGCAGTGAAAAGCATACTTTGCTAAAGGAACTGAAACAGGAAAACAGAAAATGCTTCCTTTTGCTTCAATACACCAAGAGTCATTTGAGGAGGGTGATRAAAAACCCTCACAATTCAAAAATCCATAAAACTTGCCTCCAGTAGATTTATAGCCTGTCCCATGAGGTGAACAGTCAAATTTGTCATGACTGATCGTGGTAGAAAAGATGCGGGAGAAAAGACCACTGATGCTTCCATATTTGCACCTGCACCAGCTGCAATGGAAAATACCAGGTGTCTGTCAGTGGAGATCATCTGTTCTCATATATTTTGCAAAACTTGTAATTATTTGGAAAACTGTTACTCCACTCAATAAGAAGATGGTGAAAGAATCATTATCAATAGGTGAAACTATTTAACTTTTTAATACACCAAAAAGACAGGTTACTGTAAGCAACTTCTGCTTACTGGAATTCCATATTTACTGGATATTATCTCACTAAGATCAAAAAGAAAGTATTTATAATATATAAGATACATAAATGCATTGGAAGAAGTGGACATAAAATCAAATCTGAAAAGTCTCATCTAGTATTTTCGCTGAAAACAAATGAACAGATAGCAAACCAGGAAGGAACAAGCTGGACTCTTTTGTTATACCAAGGACAGCACATGAATCAGGAGAAAAAAATATGCCCCAATCCCCTGTTGCTGCAAAGGAAGTTAACTAAGGAAGGAATTAAAAGTTGATGGTCACAAAAATAATCTTAAATGTTCATTGGTTCTTGGTCCTCTTTCACAAGAGGCAAAGGTGCATGGTATCTGGTTTGCTGGAAATATATTTAATATACTCCAATTAAAGTCAAAGCAGAATCAAGCTTCCATTTACAAATTTGGGTAGTATTAAATCATAAAAATCAAAGTTSTCCAGAGCAAGATGTAAAGGGTCAGAAAAACTATGTGGGATTTTCATTATCCATGTTACAAAGTATTAAGCTCTAAAACTCCACATACCTGAGTGAAACGTGACATCAGAATATGAGGAGTATTTCCATGTCTCCTGGTCAAAATCTCTGCTAAGGATTTCATCAGGAATAGAATCTCGAAGGTGCACCTTCAATGGATCATCTGTCTCCAGGAGCTGAGAGAGATGACTCCAAACAAAGGAGCCCACTAAAATTCAACACAGAAAAGCATTTGGAAATCAGAGAAAAATTACAACACTTTAAAAAACAGTTACAGGAAATATTTTTACTTATTTGTACACCATTCATTCTAAGCCATTCCCCTGATCACAACAGAATTCATTCACTTTCAGCATGATTAAAATCAGTCTGATGCACCTATTGGAACAGCACGTTTTAAAAAAGGCATACAGAATTAAACAGTTGTGATTCAGAATTAATATTTCTGTGTGACACTGTGTGGATTCACTCTCTGGCCATGTATGTGCTGAATCATGGGGGGCAAATATATCCCATATGTTCTGGAGTATGGTTCTTGAATAGAGGCTCTTTTGTCTTCTGAGATAAAAAGATATCCAGTGTTAGTTCAATGCACAGACACTGAATACTGATGTGACTGCATTTTTCACAACACAACTTCTTTTCCAATTTCATTTTCTGTATGTGGGAACTAAAAACTAACATGTGCCTTCAAAAGCACTTGTTATTCAAAAGTTTATTATAGAAATTATTTAGCTCTCACATCAAYCAAAGACAAAGGAAAGAAATTAAGAATGTTCATGAGTACTGCAATAAACTGTTTAAAACAATTTTGGATGGACTTGTAGAGCTCTTTCATAAATCARGCAAATTAAATTTTCTGCACAGAGTCACAGGGAGGAGTCACTGAGGGTACACCTTGACAGGATTTTGGAGGTGGATGTAATTTCCCTCTGTCTGAACTGTAAACAAGGAGGAATGAGGCCTCTCCAAACCACAAGCCACATCATCAGGTGAACACAATGCTGAGCCTGAACTCACAATCGCTGCAGGATACTCTGGTCCGGACAGAACATCCTGGGAAAATGGATACCAGCTCCGAGTGAGAGCTGGCCAGGATCCAGRCAGTGCAGACAGAGCCTGCTTTCAGCTGCCTGCAAACAATCTTATAAATACCCTTCTCATGTTTCCTTCTTCTTGACGGATGTAAATGCCGAGGATTAGTCTAGAGGCGTTCTTCACTGAACATGGTGTAATCACTTTAGAATATTGCAACTTTTTTYCCTGCCACTTGTTTCTTGCTCGACATAACAAAATGCAATGTGCAGTTATCCATTTGCATTTCTAATGCACTGAGCATCAAAGCTGTTCCACACATCCTTCTCAAGAGCATTCAGTGAATGAAATGCTGCCAGTAGAGGGAACTAATTCTGAAAAGTGAAAAATCRTTCCTTACTGACTATYGCTAAACTAACAGTATCACAATTTCAATATAAAATGTCACAATCATACAATCATTTAGAAAYWATCTACAAAGCATTGAGATTAAATAAAAATTTAYATAGATTGATACCATTACACCTGCAAAATAGATATCACATTGAAGCCTCAATTAGGAACATGTGAGACTTCAGTAGACACTTGCGGCTGACCTTGGCTGGATGTTTCTTTCAGCAAAGTCTTTTGCACTTGTTTAAATAACTCTTCATGTGGACATTTCATTGCTATATAATAAGCAGCAATTCTTATTTCCACATCTTCACTGGTTGCTTGATACAACTGAACTAAGGTAGCATCCTAAGAGAAAAAGATAAAAATATAAAGACAATTATGATTTGCTCCCCTGGAACACCTCATGCACTTTCAGGTCCAGGTGGGTTTTTTGTTCACAAAGAGATATTTTTATTTACATTTACAGCACTGAACTGAAGTGACTAATTAAGAAGTCACAAGCACTGCCTCAGCTCCTGGATGTGTTTCCTCAACTGCAGCAAAGCACATTTTAGGTCTGCTCATCTGGGTGGTTCTACCCACTTCTCYAACCACAGAGGGGCTCTGCTGGAAYGCRTTTACACCTGTTCCTTCTCTGTTTGTGTGTTTTGTAACTATTCCAAAAAATCCCAAATCTGTGGCAATGCCAGGAGGCCATCAGTGACCTCTGGCAGTAAATCACTTACCCTGACAGAACAGGGAATGCGGCGGAACGCCTGGATAGCAGCGAGGCGGATTTCCACTGGATGACTCTTCAGGGAAGCACACGAGCTCAAAACAGGAGCCAGAGAAGCTGCTGCCAGTCCTGCATTTCCAATGGCTTTCAACACCAGCTGCATCTGCAAACACAAAGCAAACAGAAAGCTCTCCATGTGCTGTCAGCTGTACATTGAATTTTATTGCATTAACATTTTCGTGTTTAAAATGATTACTGATCATTTAGGAGTTTACTGCAGCCCCAATTGAACCAACTACTCTTGGCTTTACTGGGAGGACAAGATACATACAGAGCATTGTTCTATTCTAAAGCCATGTAGGACTTTTAAATACAACCCAGTTTAGACCTGGTGGAATACAAAAACATTTTTTAAAACCTGCATTGCAACAGAAAAGCAAAAGTCGCACATTTTATGTGCTGGAACAGTTTTTCAARTACTTTGATATTTTGTCCCTTTTGACAGATATTTTGACAGTTTAGTGATTCAACATGGAGTTGCGGACACAATGACTAAATTAAAATACTTATTTGCCAAAACATTGCTTCATCATGAGACCCAAGACTTTTCCTTGTTTCCACACACAAGAATACGCATGCTCATAGTTGTCCTTGTTGAGTTACAAAATTTTGCCAGCCCATCCTAGCGATTCATTTACAAATCTTGTATTTATGGCTTTCGAAATCCAATGAATACCATTTTCATCAAACAAGTTCTAGATCATTAAGGGAACAGAAAAGTAAAGCACTACTTCATATGCCTCTGCAGAACCAATACCTTGCTCAGATGTTCTGGATCTTGCACAGCACAGTTTCCCCCCAGAAAGTTCCCAAGAGTCCTCATCACACTCTGCACAGCAGGTACATCATCACAGGAGCTGTGAGCTGAACAAAACCTATGRATGAGAGCAGTGACTCCCAAAAAGCAGCTTTGGCTTGCTCTGGGTGACTTCAGCAAAGGCTGCAAACAACCGCACAAAGAACGAGGTGTTTCAGAAAAGTCATGACAATGACTATTGTAACATACCACAGATAATAAACATACCAAAATATTTACATGCTAAAATTCAATACCAACAAAATTACTGGACAGAGTTTGTATAAATCTGTGAAAAAGWCTATTTCTGCAAATACAAAAATTATGAGCCACCTAGATTCATTACAAATTAAAAAAGAAAAAGCAAAACCACTCACGGCAAGAGACTCAATCATGCCCGAGGTGGGTTTAGGGATGAATGCAAACGACCAGAAGAAATGTTCTACTTTATCTTCCTCAACTTCTCCAGAAGCTATGAGATCTYTCATTAGGACAACACATGCCTCTGTAGCACAAGATGGGAGAGCATCTATTAATGGTTGCCTGTAACACAAGAAAAAAGTACAGCAAATCTAAAATGAACAAAATATTCACGAATCACATAAATACATTGAGGTTGTGCTTCTTTCAGAGTAAATAAAAGTCTTGGCTTGGCAAATGCCAGATTACACAGAAATCAATATTATGTGCTGGTTCAGCGGCCTTACAGAAATATGCCTAAACCAGGCCATGATGGAAGTGCATTGGTGTTTCAACAACTGTATCTAAACAGATTTTCAAGTAAACATTCAGTTGCTTTCTCTGAAAATTAAGCCGAATCATATCCCAAGTTTAACTTCCAAAGACTGAGGTACCTGAATGCACTAATCTTTATGAAGATTTTTTTTTCCTTTTATTTCACCTATAATAGCAGTAAGAAATTAAATTATTAAAATGAAATTGACTAGCTTTTATTTCCTGTACTTTTTTAGACCTTATTTAATGAGAAAGCTTACACCAGCATGACAGAAAATACACGTTTCCGCTCTTAAGAGTCCCCCAGTAATTATTCTCTGCCTACCTCCTATATYGGTGGAAGGACACTTTTGCATTAACCAGAAAGCAGTTAAGCTAAATGGGGCAAAAGTATCAGAGTCTGCATGGGATCCTTTTTCACTCCTAAATTTAATAACCATGTCATGAGCAAAATTAGTCTAAAGGTACAYATAAAAGAGGCAGAGTAGTTTAAATACTGTCTAATACCGAAGAATATTAACATGACTATTTGTCAAAGGATGAGAATAAACCTAACCCAAAACAAAAYGTGCCCCTTTTGCATCAAGTAAAAATATTGCAAACATAAAACCTGGCATTAGATTAATTTCAAACAGGCTGATAACATTTTGTACTGAAATCAAGGAAAATAATTGTTTCATTGTTTTCAGCTTTGTGAAGGGAGAAAAGTTTTAATACTGGATTAGTATTCTGATCATCTCAAACCATTAGGTCAAAGAGCTGAGGAGTGGGGCCTTGATTTTTAAAGTTAAAGTTCTACAACTGATATAAACCATCCTGAGATCCAGCTGCTGCTGAAAGATGCAGCTCCACCACATTTATTCTCCCAGGCTAACATCTGTCTCCCCTTCCCCATGAGTACTAAGGGCAGTGAAGGCACAGATCCAGGTGAGTTTTTACACAACAAATGTCAGTATAAGGTTAAAACAAGCAGCACTGATTTCCACCCAAACCATGACTCAGGTTTCCCATTCACACTGCCTCTGAAACAGGAAGTGCGTCTGTGAGAATGGGCATGGGACAAAAACATCTATTTTGTACATAACATTCATTCAGTGARGAGAGTATCATCCCACTACACAAACAAGATCTGCAACACAAATTATTCTTTTAAAATGCTCCAAATTTAAATCCAGCATTTGGGCATAAATTTAAAACATTTAACTATGTTAAATATTTGCAAAACATTTCTTTCCTGTGTATTTTTGAACRCAATTACTGAAGGAGCCTTACCAGTTGTCTCTGCACTTAAATGAAGATCTTTGCCATAGTGCTCTTAAGGCCTCAAGAGAAAGATGTCGAAGCTYAAACACGAGAGTCATGAAAAGGTCTGCAGTCTGTAAGTGCACAACCACAACTGTAATATTTCTGCTGTGCAGAAACCAGAGAACAGAGCACAAGATGTTATACTGGCATTGCCACTGATTTACACTGTACCCTGAGAGTAAATCCACTTTRCTTCCTTGCATCCTTACATTCCTTCCTTCACTTGCTTTTGTCTCCAGACTGCAAACATCTGTGGAGAAGGGATTTGACTCTTGGATGTCAGTCAGTCCCTCACACAACACTGCTCAGTGACCACCACGCACACCACAGGCATATAAATGAATAATAAACTAAAATGCAGCACTGTGGTTACAGTCCAGAACAGAAAGTCACAATCTTCTCTGAGTTTGTATAGCAAGATTCTGATTTAGAACTGCTGACATGGCTTTGACACAAATGAAACAATTGTCAAGCTAAGTGTACATTAATCTTAGATGTACGCAAAAGATCATTTAACTGAAGTTTGGGCAGCACTTGAAGTTTCACTTGAGAACCCTTGGGCTGTGTGAAAATATTCCATCGTATTGGGAAAAGCCCARGCATAACTGCCCTTACCTCTGCAGGCAGCACAGGATTAGCTGGAAACACAAAAGCAGAAAAGCTGCTCTCCCTGGATAAGAGGACTTGCTACAACATACAACAACAGCAGCTATTTAACCTGGTATTTTAAAAGTTAAATAGCATGTGGATGTGCTCCTCTGAGACCTGATCCAAAATTCAAKAAAGAAGATAGGTCTCATGAATTGAAAAATCAGCAGAATGTTCAATACAATACCTTGGATGTTCATTTTAAACAAACTTTATAATGCCTAAGTTTTAATCATGTCTATGTCAGATTCACCTCAATCCTTTACTCACCTCAGATGTGAAAGGCTTAGACATAGAACTAAATTTCTCATTAAAAAAAAAACGGTTTTCTTCATGTAAAAATCATACACACAAAGTCTAATTCCACTAAGTTACATTTGCAAAGGTTTGGTGAGAGGCCTACTTTGACTTCCTGACCTTCCTTCCAGGAGTTACTCCCAAAAACAATGAAAACATGGAATAATCCAGTGCCAGAATTTTATTTTAAGACTGCCAAAACATTTTCAGGAAAAAGAAACTGTCTTTCTTTCAGTAAGAAGTATGAGTAATTTCAAACTGTGCTGTTTGACAGGCTGAGGGAATAATTTGTCAGATCCAATACAGACATGGTTTATGTTTTTATTCTTTAGGGACTTATATTCTATTTAGACATACTATATTAATTTCATCAAATTGAAATTTATTCTCATACATTAAGCCCCATCTATGGATTAATTCTGTTAACATTTGTAATTCCATAGCCAAAATTTAGATAGATCCACATGTATTCTCTTGTATCCCATTCCATCCCATCGTAACTGTTATGATCTGTTTTAAAAATAAATTACTAACCTGGTCACTATGAAGTTAGTGAAACAGATTACATTTTATGGTCTATAAAATGTTCRGAGAACTGTGTTTTATACTAAAGCATGGGCCCTGTGTGCATTTTTCTGCAGGTAAATCCACTCTGGGCAGTGTGAGTGGGGAGCTGGGGACCCTCAGATCYCATCACAAGGATCTGTTTGTGCAGCAGCTGCTCAGCCCTGGTGGCCCATCACCATCAGTACAGCTCAAGATAAAACTGCCASACTGAGGCACTTTCAGGTGATATTCTAGACTGTAGACTGACTTMATTCTGCTTCACACCTGCTGACTCCCACCTAATAACTCCACACAAAATTTCCCAGAGAAACAGCTATTTTTACTTACTAATAATAAAGCTTCAGCATGAACTGTCTCACCAGGTGGGCTGTTTTCATTTTTTAAGGTTGGCTGCACTGAAATTGAGCTGCCGTTGCAAATTCCTCTATTTGTAGTATCATAGTAACAAATTGCATTCAAATTTGATTCCCATTCTCACCTCTAACAGAAACACAAGAAAGCCTAGCTTTTATTCTATACAGAAGCTTGCTTTTCCTTCTATCTGCAGACGTGCCATACTCTAAAAAAAGAAACTAGTGAGAAGCTAGCAATTAGAATGC